CATTTATAATTTTTAAGTCCATAGCAACGACTTCATTAAAAATTGAAGCTTGAGGGATTCCCACTTTCCTCTTCGGAATAGATCTAGTCTTGTACTTCAAGCAAAAATCACATGTTTGATCAATCTTCTCAAGCTCCTCTATGATCTTATTACCATCTTTCAACTTTGCGTTTTTGATGACTTTACCTATCTTCGCAGCTGATGCGTGAGCGTAGTAACGGTGATAAAAGTCAGCAGTTTTTCCACAGTCTTGCTCTTCAGACACTTGATAAGTTACTCCACTTTCTTGCCCATCTCCACAACGTGCAATCGGCACAGCTACATGACCCGATTTTGTACTCCGCAACTTCTCCAGTGTTTTGCTGTCTTTTATTTTTAGGGTCATATTTTCCATGTCTAGTACCATACCCATTTTCGTCATGGTTTGCTTCGCTAGCAAAAGAGGAATATCGTTCGTCACCACGTATGTTTTCAAAAACATATCTTTGTTGCAAAGGTTAATAGGTATAGTTTTCAAAGCAATCGACTTCACTGGCTTACCATCTCCAAATCGAAATGTCCTTTCAGTAGTCTCAGTCTGTATCAGTTTCCTCTCTTCTGTAGTCAAAGAGCTTTCATACACCGTAAACCACTCCTTTCCACAGATGGTTGCACATGCCCCTGTATCTATCAACGCTTTGTTCGTACATTCACCTGTTAAGTAAATTATCTCTTCTTCGCAATCTGGAAGTGAAAAATCTGATTCAAATAAAGCGTAGACCTTTCTGCGAGACTCATCATCTTGTTTTTGATGAGATTTAGCGAATGTGTTAAAAGAACACTCAGCGACAACATGACCTGGTTGATGGCATATAAAACAACTGATCCTTTGGTTACTGCTCCCCCTCATGTAAGACTTTTGTCCTCGTTTCTGTGCATATGGGTTGAATCTAGACTGCCCTCTATTCTGACCGTAAGGGTTATATCTGTTTTCCCCTCTCATAGGTTGACCAGTGAAGTTTCTTTGATGATCCCCATTTCTGGTCCAGTGCACGTCAGACCCCATTTGCTGATCCTCAGTTAGAAAGACGGGTTCCTGCTTTACCACCTCCATTGGAGTACTTTTGAAAGGCAGACTGGATTGATTCTCATTCCTTGTAAATCCATCTCCGAATGTCCTTTTTAACTGTTCTTGCATCAAGTTATAAGATAATGTACTAGTGCAAGTTGCTCTAACTAATCTGGCCTGTTCATCGTTTAGGCTAGCCTGATTTAACAGTCTATATGCTAATATCATATCGTCATAGAGCTCTTTGCTTTCTCTCAGCTGTTTAAGGATCTGATACCTCCGCTGGAATTCCAAGATGTAGTTGTCGATATCTTCTCCATCTCCTCTTCTATATCTCTCAAAGTCGTCTATTGCCTTAAATAAAGACTGAGTACCGTCCTTCTTGTACAGTTTGTCCAGTTCAGCAATGAGTTTATCAACTCCATCTTCAGCTCCTAGAACCTTTATTGGTATATTTATAGAAACCTCCTGTGGTTTCCCATTCATGTTCATGATAAGTTTACTTGCTTGCTGTTTCACTGATGCTCCGGTTCCAAGCTGCCATATAAGCACTTTTTTCTTCCACGTGCTGTAGTCAGCGCTATCGTCTAACACAGGTATCTCACGAAGACTCATGATTACAGTTTGACTAAAAAAACTCCCAAAGTGTCTCTAAAAAAAAAACTCCAAAATGTCTCTCAATGTCTCTCAAAAGAAAAGAAAAGTTCCACAGTTGTTAGGTCGTTGGGTAGATCGTCCTGCTTCCTACTATCACTGTTAGATGACTCTAAGTTGACCAATTAAAACCAGTAATTGTCGTATGTACAAAACCTGTAAAACACAATAATTTATTACATAATAGAATAACTTTACAACCAAATTAAACCAATTCCAAATATATACCTAATAACTAAACATTGTAAATACTTACCGATTGGACGGTGACTATGACGTCACCAGACCTTGTCCTAAGTTTCCCGCTCATTGGACCAAGTGAGTTTGCATGCTTGTGAATGTAGGTGTAAGTACAGCTGCACTGTAGTTTATACCTAATTAACCCCTATACACGGTCACTGTGCACTATAGAAACCTGAAAAGTGGTTACTGCATACTGGAGGGTGAAGTGCCAAGACTTCCTTCGCTACATAGACGCTGTTGTCAGCACTGCACGCGCGCGCACGAACCTTCCCATCGGGGTTCGTGGATAGGTGCTTTTCTTGACTTGTGAAACAAGCGCGCCCGCAGTGGCGCGAAAGCACATGGATAGGTGAACAAAGGATCGTGAATCAAACACTTAATATAATAAATTAACTTAAAAATTAAATATTATTATTATTACTGCATCATGTATTACAATTGACAATAAACAAATTTACGAAAATTTCGCCCTTTTTTGTCGTATTCCTCGCAAAATTGTCAAAAAGTAAATAATTTTAGTGTGTAATTTTTTGCACATTTTTTGCACATTTCACAGTACTAACAATGAAATTAATAAAACGCCAATTTCGTGTAAGACGTTTTGTTAATTTTGTTCTTGACAGCTAATTGGATTGTGAAAGGACAAACAACTAATGCATAATGGGGCAAAGAATGGGCGGGCTTGAAAGCTTTTTTGTGGAAGTAAAAGTTTTGAGAAAAGTTGGTTTTTTGTACCAATATTTCAGATTTTTCTTGGTGATTAGTATTATCTTTTGCTTCTCCTCAGCACGAGTTATAGTTTAAAATTCCGGATAGAGACTAGATGCTAGCAGCTTGGGTAATTGACCATTTACGTACTACAAGATCATTTAATCATTAATTAGCCAAAAAGATCCTAGGAGAGTGACAAAGTATGAAGAGCAGGAGATAGGCCCCTATAGTCCCTCCTAATATTAACAGTTTTACTGATGAAAAGATACGCTGATTTCAAACAAACTTGTCAGGCTTGTTCCTCTCCCCTGCATTACCCCTGATCCGCATTACCCCAGATCTACTTTATTTTACATTGTGGAAAGAGAAGCTACGCGATCCAAGAGGGATATGAGTCTTTAATCAAACCCCAATGATTTGTACAACCTGGTGCTATATATCGTGCTATTTCCCTAAAACAGTATGGTAAATCAGGTTTTTAGTGTAGTTTATTATTCAAAAAAATGTGAACCTCTCATTATAATACTGTTATATTGTATCATCTATATATCACCATGAATGTTAAATTGTTTTTCACAACATTTGAGGACAGGTCTTCTGTATTTAATTTACAACTTTAAAAATTGTTTAGTCTTATGTCAATGAAACAAGAAATTTTTTCAATGAAACAAGAAATTTAGAAATTCAATTTTAGCACATTTTTACAGAATAAAAAGATGTAAAACAATTCATAAAATATAATGCCCATTTGCATTTGGTGTATGACTTTTTGTCCTTGACTGCTAGTTTGGTTTTGGAAGGACAGGTAACTAACGGGGCAAGGAATGCGCGTGCTTGGAAGCTTTTGCACACACCGAAATGCTAGTTCAGTTAAGTTTATAGAGACAAGGCTCAGATTAGGACTAGGAGAAAAATTGTTGGCAGACATTAGGGGTTCTGTTTATAGTTGTTATTATAGGTTGCAGTCTTGTTGTGACAAAAAGTCTACACTAAAACATGCTTTAGTTTATATTGTGTACGATATAAAATGCAGCTTCAAGGTGGATATTGGAGAGCTGGCGAAAGATTATGGCCTTTGTATCAATGGTTATAATAAGCTATAAATATCTTAAACTATACAGTGCTAATTAAAAATTTCTTTTTAATTAGCATGTTTTTTTGTTTTTTTGTCACAACAAGACTGCAACCTATAGTAACAACTATAAAGTCTAAACAGAACCCCTAAGGTTTGCTAACAATTTTCTTCTGGTCCTAATATGTGTGCAAAAGCTTTCAGGCACGCGCATTCCTTGCCTCGTTAGTTACCTGTCCTTCCAAAACCAAACTAGCAGTCAAGGACAAAAAGTCATACACCAAATGGGCATTATATTTTATGAATTGTTTTACATCTTTTTATTCTGTAAAATGTGCTAAAATTAACTTTCTTGTTTCATTGAATTTCTTGTTTCATTGAACAAATTATCTAGCTTGATTGATTCAAAGGGAGAAAAAATTCCTCTTCTGTATTTAATAACATGTCTCATTTTTTGTTAATATTTAAAAAAATATTGAAATGTTTAGGACCCTCATGGAAGATCACATTGTGAGAATACTTCGTTCTGCGGGAGGGCCTCGCTCTTCAGCTGAACTTTCCAAAAGTACAAGATCCTCAAAAGAGGAAACTGAGTTGGCTTGTGGTAGATTAGCCTCAGTAGGTCAAATTGTCAAGATAACTGATGAGATGTGGTGCATCAACCCAAAATTTGGGAAATTTCATGGTAATAAATAAATTCGCATGATACAGGTTTTTGTTTGAAGATTTAATAAGATTGATTTCAAAGTAAGGCTGGTCTAAAGCTCAAAATGGATACTAACCACTAGCAAATATATTGCAGAAGTAAAGCACCTTTTGTTAAGACGATTTGTATTGTTATTTCATTTTTTGGCATTGACATAACAGTTGACATAACAATTGTTTTGTAGAAGCGTAAAATATGAAGGCTGCGGTAACATTACAACGTCACAAGCAGTTTATAAATTAGAACCATTTCTTGGTACATAAATTTACATTTTGCCAAGATTTAGTTCAAGGATAAAGACTGCTTACTAATTAAAATTATTCGCTCATGTCTAATATTTCAGTGTGTTGGGATCCTAGAGAGGACTAAGTTTCCAACACATTTTAGGCATAATCGAATGTAAAGTATAAAATACAATATTATTCGAGTCATATTTTATACTAAATTATTTTATATTACAAATGATTCTTTTTGTTTTATGTTTTTTTGACATCATAACGTGCTCGTTTTAAATATTCCTTTAACACAGATAATGATGAAATATTTATGTTGTCAAACTTTTCCAGGTAACAACAATTCGTCTGCGATAAGGCCTAGACCCACTCCTCGTCCGATCCCCAGCTCCACATTTACACACCCGGCCACACCAAGACATTCTCGTCCAGTCCCTACTAGACCACCTTCCTCTGGTGCTAGACCAGTTCAACCAATAGCTCAGCCGGGAGCAGCTCTAAATCAGTCTACAAGAGCTCCTCCTCTGTCCATAAATAGGTTGCCTGCACCTCACTACAGTGCCCCTCGGCCAATAAGTAATAACATACCTGTTTCTTTGTCTCCTGGATTTTCAAGCAGTAGACCTCCTCCTCGACCGATTAGATTTAACCAGGCAGCTGGAACCAGTGCCCCTCCACGTCCCTCAGTGAGACTACAAGGAGCATTAAAATCTGACGCTTCAAATCATCGAGGTGTTGAAATTCACCCTTCAAGAAGCAGATTTGTGGAAGAAGATCATGATGGAGAAAACACTAGGTAAATATTGTGGGTATTTCAACTTTTAATCCAACCCTCATATTAGAAATACACCATAGGCATCACAAGTTGTTGTTATGATTACTACTTTGAATAAACTTTTCCAGTTACTTAAAATTAAAGTGAAAATAATTGCATATTATAATTATTTTACCAGTTATTTAACATCTAATTTATCAGGAATGAAAAAGACACCTTGACCAGTACGGAACAACTTGTTCTAGATAAGATGAAAAGCAGCAACAATCCTTGGACAATCAGACAGCTGAAAATGGGTGGAGGATACGTGACGCATAACCTTTGTACGGGATTGATAGATAAGGGCTTTATCATCAAGGTAATGATAATGTCATGTCAGATTTTTATTTTTTCTATTTCACTCTTGTCGTGATCACAAATAACAAGGAAATGAGCCATTTAATGTGATCATACGATGATGGAAAATGGAAATGTTGTGTAAATGTTGTGTAAATGTTGTGTAAATGTTGTGTAAATGTTGATGTAAATGTTGATGTAAATGTTGATGTAAACTGAATATTGCAGATTGACATGGGGAATGAAGAGCCAATGTATGCGATTAATCTCAAGAAAATTACAAAATCTACATTTCCTTCCAAGAGATCAGCTCCTCTGCCCATGCCAGGTTTTTCTTAAACTGCAAATATCTTTCCTTGGTTATTTATTCAGCTACTTTAGTGCCTGAAGTGTAAATGATCGATATTTAAATGCTATAGATAATTTAGTTCATCAAATTTTTTTTCACTCTGAATTTGTTTTGTTTATCTGGATCTATAATATATATGTATTATATATGATTGTTAAATCAACTATTTTAACCTGATGAACAAAATATTTACAGGTGATCAAAGTTCAGCATTCCAAGCTAAGACTGCAAGGTTGAACCCTGTAAGTGCCATCCAAATAAGTAGTAAAATAGCCCATGACTCAATCAACAAGAATCCCATCTCGGCTATAATTGAACTCGCCCAAGCTAACGGACTCGCTCCAGCCTTCAACATTACACGCACATCTGGCCCCACAAATCGAAAGAAATTTCACATGAGACTAACCATGGGGGATCGCACGTTTGACTCAGTAGCCACCAGCAAAAAGGTGGCCAAACAGAATGTGGCTGAACTAGCACTGAGAATGTTACACTCAGAGCGGTCCGGGGCTGTGCCTGTGTCCACGGCAGTCGTTGATGTCTCTCAAAAGAGTTCCAGGGATCCTGAGATATTAGTTGATCAGATTAACGAGTTCACTCCTATCCATAGTAGCACGATCGAGGGTACTGGATTTTTCGGTAAAGTCGGGAGATTCTCCTATGACACTTACAACAAATTAGCTGCATCCGTGCATCTTTCAACCGTTGGAAGAAAAGTTATTTCTGTTTTCATCATCGAAGATTCACGATCAGGTTTACCTTTGTGGTCCGCTGTTTCCCTTGGATCAGGAAACAGGACAGTGAATGGTGATAACATCAACTTTGAGGGTAAAACTGTCAATGATTCACATGCTGAAATAACTGCCAGACGTGGATTTCGACGATTTTTGTGGAAACAGCTGCGAACTGTCACTGGGAAGGAGGGAAAGGCGATGCCGTTTGATGCTGTTTTGGAGGAAACTCCAGGTGGTAAATACAGGCTGAACCACAAAGTCAGAGTTCATCTTTTCATCAGCACCGCGCCCTGTGGTGACAGCGCAATATTCCCCATTTCCGAAGCTACACAGTCAAATGAACACGTGGTCGCACATGATCCAACGATGGAAAACGAAAAACAGGGCTTGCTGAGAAGCAAAATGGAATCAGGCCAAGGAACCAACCCAACATCATCCTCAGAAGATCCTCTCACAATCGACGGTATTATGATGGGCGACCAAAGGTTAAAAACGATGTCCTGCAGTGATAAAGTGAGCAGATGGAACATACTGGGCCTGCAAGGTTGTCTCCTCTCTGAGTACCTGGAACCCGTCTACCTGTCCTCGCTGACACTGGGCTGTCTCTACCACCACGGTCACCTGTCCCGCGCAGTGTGCTGTCGTTACAATGACATCCCCCTCCCGGCCCCCTACCGCCTCAACCACCCACTGCTGGGATGTGTGCCTGGTCAGGAGGCTGAGAGGGAGCTGGGTAAAACCAATGAAATGAGTATGAACTGGTGTGCAGGTGATGACAAGGTGGAGGTGCTGGATGGGTGTCGGGGGAGGTGCGCTAAGGGTGTCATCTCCAGACTTGCTCGTGTTAGTGTGCTGAAGGAGTATGAGGAGTTTTCTGGGGCCGAGTGTAAGGATTATAACAAGGTTAAGGAGCGGATTACCGAATATTGTGAGGCGAAGGAAGTTTATAATAAGTTTGTAAAGGAGAAGAATTATGGCGTTTGGATTAAAAAACCTGCCTGTTGAATTTCATTCTAACTTTTCAATTTTATTCTTTTTTAAGGGTGGTGATGAATATTTTTAGACATTCACACTCGGAATAATATATCTATTTTCAATTGTTTTCTTTTTTTGTTTCCACATTGTTACAGGTGTTTTGCTTTTGAAATTAATTTTGAGGTGAACTTTTTACATTAGTACAGAATTATGCTAATTACATGAAAACTCTAATTATGCTTATTGCTTATTTATTCAAAATTCTTGTTAAGTAATTTTTTACGGTTTCTCCCGATTAGATCGACTTCGTAGGTCGTTAGATCGATCTTTAATATTCAGTGTAATTACCTTGGTCCTGCATACGTTCATATATGACGTAGCCGTATGCTCGCTGCTACCGATTGTACTCGGAGCAAGAACTCATTACCCTTATCCATGTCTTCAGATAGTAATATAATATTATTATTATGAACTTTCCACGACCAAAATTTTGAATATTCGATTTTCCTTAAGTAACTTGATAAACACATTATTAAAACCAGTGTGTCGCTCTTTGGTGTCCTAAGCCTTTAGTTCTTGACTAAAAAAGAGTTGCAATTCTGTTGACTGTGTTAATGTGTAGTTATAATACAATAATACCTCCGCTACTGAGTGCTAAGCGTGATAATTCCCGACAGATTGCTGCAGGGAACGCGCGGGAAAAATGTGCAAATTATCAGCTCTCGGTGTCCCCGAGTTTTAGTGGATATAATTCCCGGAAGGTATTATAACAATATACCCTCACCATTAGGATGGGTGAACCCTGTGAGGCCGAGGGATGTGGTGGAAGTGGAACATTGCGGTGTCCTACATGTATAAAACTGGGACTTCAACTTAGTAATTTTTGTAGTCAGGTAATTGTTATGGCATAACCAATTAACAGCATGCACATTTATTCATCAAGCCCACAATGATAAGTACTTAAGTACTAGTTTAATCTGAAAAACCTGAAAATGAGTAGCCTTTATTTAAACATTTTATTTAAGCATTAATCTAATACTTTAGAGACCTTTCAGGGATGTTTCGAAACAGAAAATCACAAATTGAAACATGATCTGATGAATAAACTCCTTTGGATCGGTAATCGAGTTCATGCGATGGAATCAGCTATAACTGTCCGAAGACTTTGTGAAGATAAATTCACCATGTTTCCCAGAGCTCCTAACTTGTCTAAGTTCATTGATGCCTTTCACCGTAACGAGACAGACCTCAACAAAAAAGAGAAACTAGAAAAAAGGCGCCAGGAAGAATATCATGCTGAGGTTCAAGTTTTCAGAGCTTTAGAAAATTTGAAAGTTACACAAAGTTTGGATTTTGTTTTACATAACCTTAGATATACTCATGGACAGTATGGGTATTTTGTAGACGATCATGACGTAAATTGTTCGAAAAAGCCACAAGAAGAAGAAGGAGAATGTGACTTTGTAGCGGTCGTTAACTCATGCTTTGTTGTGTTTGAGGTTAAAAGCCCAAATAAAGAGAGCAAAAACCGCCCAAAAATGTTCAGAGATCGACTTAAAGAATCAATCGTGCAGAGAAAGAGGACTGTAAAACTTTTACAGGGAATGGCAAAAAGATATGGACTTAGCTACCCATTCCCAGTGATTCTGGACTTTACAATTTTCTGTGGACTAACTAGGGAGGAGGCTGGCAGTCTGACACAAAGTGGATCTAACCTTGCTGAAGATTTATCTGAAATTGTATTTGAGGATGACCTCCCTAATTTTACTGCATGGTGGGATGTAAATGTCATGGAAACATATATTAACTCTTGCAGCACTCCTGGTGTATGGTCATTATTGGCTAATAATAAAACATTATACCAAAAAAACATGGAAGCAATCGGTAAAATGCAGATAACTTTTCTAGGGTTGTGGATTTCTCATATGCATAAGGAAAACCCGAGTTCATTATATCGTCAAGTCCCAGAAGGCAGTCTCCCACATTGTATTATTGAAATTGACAAAGTGCTTAGATCCGAGATAATCACTAGAAAACCCTCCGGTCCTATAAACAGAGAAATAAGGGGAGCTCCACCAGTATTCAAAAATCATTTGGGAATAGAATGCCTTACTGTAGAGCAGATGAACATCTTCAAGTGTGAGGAAAAACACATTTGTATTAACGATCCTGCTGGGTCCGGAAAGACAGTCGTACTGCTTGGCAAAATGTTGGAACTGGCAAAAAAAGAACAAAAGTCAGAGCGGAAAATACTTGTGCTTGCCTTTGGTGAGTACTCTGCTGAAAGATACAAAAAGGCATGTGATTCAGCATCTATCAATAACCTTACAATCCCTCTTACCACTGAAAACCTGCCTCAAACCGATAAAGCTCCACTTCTTGAGCAACAAGACGTATATTTGATGGTAAAACAGTGTATGATAAAGTGTGTTCAAGATTCATTCCAGGAAAAACCGTTGTATAAAGTAGCCATAATGTACAATTTGGCAAACTTATTAAGCATTGTTAAATTAGATATCTTTTCCTTGATATTTGATTTGTTCCCTGATCATCATATCCTGGTGGATGACGGACAATGTATATTTTCTCACAATTGGGAATCAGTGAGTGAGGAAGACGTTCACAGCTTTCTGGAGCATCTTAAAAAAATCGCTGTTGTCCAGGAAACTGATGTTTGGCTGAGTTATGATCCGGTTCAATATTATTACAATAAGTTATTCCAATGTCTTCCATCTCGCGTGGGTCCAAGTCCTCTAGAGATTCTCTGGTTGTGGTTGAAGCAGTTGAACCAAGAGAAGTGAATTAAGCAAAGGATTGGCCACACATTTTCAAGGATCAATGATGGTGCTGAAAAGTAATTTACGAAATACAGAAGAACTCGCTAACATACTCTCCTTCCTCAGAGAAAATATAATGAAAGGCTTCAGCAATGACGTAGAAGTTCCATCACAAGAAAAAGGACATTATATTCATGGTTTCAAACCGACTATATATTTTCTGAACAGTGAAACCGTTTCTGATTTTAGTGTATTGAACAAATGGGAATATGAAAAACTAAAACTTCTTGCTCCCCATGATCGTAAGCTAATTGTGGAACTAAAAATCATGAAAAGTACTCATTCACTTTTATGAGTGCTGCTCAAGAATTTGGTAGGAATAATTTGGGCAGCATTCCCTCTGCTGAATGGCCAGCCTGTTACAGCAGTACTTGGCACAGACAGAGGATCACTGGAGTCGTTCGTCATAGAGTTGTACCTCCTTATATCCAGAGCTAGAGTTTACTGCACTGTGTTTGTGTTAGATTGTCCAGATTCACCTATTCATGAGGAGATTTTAGAGTTGGAGAAAGAACTGGTGAAATATGCTCATGTCATACGTCTAGATACACCAGAAGCTTCCAAGATGTTGTTGCATGATCGAATGAAGCTGACTATGACGAGAGGCGAGCTGGAGAAAAGCCCCGATAATGAGGTTAGGAAGTTTGTGTCGAATTTATTGTGGGGAAGTTGAATAATATTACAATTACAATTCATCTTAGATCAGATTGCTGATATGAACTGCACTTCTAATTCAGTGCGTCTTATTCCGATAGTGATATACACGTAGATACACTGATCTTTGTTTAAAATAGTTTGAATTGTGGATCAGTGGACCTAACTGTTTTAATGTGTATTGTGCATGTTTTGATATCTGAGCTCTGCCCTTTAAATCATTACATATTAAACATTTTAATATGATATTATTTTAATCGTGATAAATTAAGTGTTATAAAGTGTAAAATGTAGTACAGCGTTAAGCAAAAACTCCAATGGATGGTTACCGTAATGGGTGCCACATGCCTAGCATGAAATATTTACCTACTTACTTGCATTTGTGTAAGTCTGTAGATACATTAGTATCGGGCGTTGCCTGCTACAGGCTATCCCGAAACTAGAAGTATGATCTAATAAATAAGTGTAAAATTATAGTTTTTAAGGTTAAATCTTATTACATCTTGGTAGATGTTAGATAGTTTGTTCTTCGTGCAGAACTAGTTAGCTTTTTGGGATGTTCTTTACTATCAAAGAGTTAGCCAAAAGTGTCATGTTATATTAACGTAATGTTTACGTGCTTTGTTTTCAGTGAATGAATATGAGTTAGTCTATATTTTCTATATTCGGAATAATTTTAAATAAAGTTTCCTAAAAATATCTTCATCTTACTAGTATAGTCTTATTATATTACTACTATAATAGTCGTATTATATAAAGAAAAATAAATATATTATGAGTATCAATCACACAGCACGACTTGAACATTAATTTGCCTATCAACCTGTTGGTTTATCTAATTAAACTGTGTCTGTATGATCCTGTTAGATAGGTCTACTTACAATAACTAGTAGTTTTTATTCCTGTAGGATGTCTGCATCCTGTACAATAATTGGGGTGTCATCTGGGACTATCCAGTATGATTTCGATAAACCATCTTATGAATTCCTCTATCAGTAAGTACTATATCAGTATTCAGTAAGTACTATTATATTAGTAAAGACTAATGGAAGGATTTTGTAGGTGGAAAATATTGTTGGTGGTTTAATTGTAATGACTAAATTATGAAAACTTAAATATAAACGATTAAAACTGACAATATTTGACCAGGTTCTGGAATCAGCACAGGAATTGCATGTGTTATTTCTGCAAACCTTCTAATCCCTACTACGTCACTAGAGACCCTGCTACTGAGTGTTATCCTCTACATGTGAGTATTGTTTAGTATCATCATTATAATATGTGCCATTGAATCAGTATCAAATGATAAAGTAGTTCAGTGTTGTGAAAATCATATGATGGGTTAACGATTAGTGTTGTTTAATTTGTTACTAATGTGTTACTAATTTGTAACTAATTTGTTAATATAATTTTTTACTAATTTGTTACTAATTTGTTACTAATTTGTTACTAATTTGTTACTAATTTGTTACTAATTTGTTACTAATTTGTTACTAATTTGTTACTAATTTGTTACTAATTTGTTACTAATTTGTTACTAATTTGTTACTAATTTGTTACTAATTTGTTACTAATGTGTTACTAATTTGTTACTAATTTGTTACTAATTTGTTACTAATTTGTTACTAATTTGTTACTAATTTGTTACTAATTTGTTACTAATTTGTTACTAATTTGTTACTAATTTGTTACTAATTTGTTACTAATTTGTTACTAATTTGTTACTAATTTGTTACTAATTTGTTACTAATTTGTTACTAATTTGTTACTAATTTGTTGACTACTTCAGTCACCCATGGTTTTCCAACCGAATATTCATGTTAAAGACAATCCAAAGCTTCTGATAAGCGATTATCCATCCTTGATAGCGCCAGGTAATACCTTAGAGTGACTACGTAAGGTAATTCTCCTCTACATTTTAAGTAGTTTCATAATATTCAAAGTGGATCAATTAGTTATAGCTAGTTGATGACCATAACTCCACAAGTGGCTTAATTATTCTTCTTTTGCAGATAAATCGGATGATAACGTAGAAACCAATGCCAAGAAAAAAGTCGTTGTAAGTTTTCTGCAATTTTATTGTCAAAGCTTTTGACTATTATGCTTGATTTTTGACTACCAAGAAGCTTTTTTGACTACAAAAAATGCTGAATAGAACAAGAATAAATCGTTTTTAATCCCCGAAACCACATTTTCCAAACCCCTTATTTACAGTTGACCTGCAGTCAGTGCCAGAAGGAGTTCAAACATAAAAAGCGGTACAAAACCCACGTGGAGGTGTGTAATGGTGCGATGCCGTGCCAAATGTGCGGTAAAATGTTCAACAGTGACCGGTGTCTGCAGGACCATGTTCGGAATGTACATACCAATAGCAACCTCTCTTGTGTCCACTGTTTGAAGGTCTTCAAGACTAAAGTTAGTCTTAGGATGTGAGTTCTCGTTTATTTGGTGGTTTTCTTTTAAAACTAAAGGTTTTCTTTATTATTTTCAAGTCAATGTCCTTTATTATTGTTATGGTATTAGTTAATAAAGGTTCTTAACTTAAGACAATTGTTTTATTCCAGGCACACGAGAAGAATGCATACCCCGTATGTTAAGTCGCTTAACTTAAGACAATTGTTTTATTCCAGGCACACCAGAAGAATGCATACCCCGTATGTTAAGTCGCTTAACTTAAGTAAATTGTTTAATTCCAGGCACACCAGAAGAATGCATACTCCGTATTTTAAGTCGCTTAACTTAAGTAAATTGTTTTATTCCAGGCACACCAGAAGAATGCATACTCCGTATGTTAAGTCCCTTAACTTAAGTAAATTGTTTAATTCCAGGCACACCAGAAGAATGCATACTCCGTATTTTAAGTCGCTTAACTTAAGTAAATTGTTTTATTCCAGGCACACCAGAAGAATGCATACCCCGTATGTTAAGTCCCTTAACTTAAGTCGCTTGTTTTATTCCAGGCACACCAGAAGAATGCATACTCCGTATGTTAAGTCCCTTAACTTAAGTAAATTGTTTTATTCCAGGCACACCAGAAGAATGCATACTCCGTATGTTAAGTCGCTTAACTCAAGTAAATTGTTTTATTCCAGGCACACCAGAAGAATGCATACTCCGTATGTTAAGTCGCTTAACTTAAGTAAATTGTTGTATTCCAGGCACACCAGAAGAATGCATACTCCGTATGTTAAGTCCCTTAACTTAAGTCGCTTGTTTTATTCCAGGCACACCAGAAGAATGCATACTCCGTATGTTAAGTCGCTTAACTTAAGTAAATTGTTGTATTCCAGGCACACCAGAAGAATGCATACTCCGTATGTTAAGTCCCTTAACTTAAGTCGCTTGTTTTATTCCAGGCACACCAGAAGAATGCATACTCCGTATGTTAAGTCGCTTAACTTAAGTAAATTGTTGTATTCCAGGCACACCAGAAGAATGCATACCCCGTATGTTAAGTCCCTTAACTTAAGTCGCTTGTTTTATTCCAGGCACACCAGAAGAATGCATACTCCGTATGTTAAGTCCCTTAACTTAAGTAAATTGTTTTATTCCAGGCACACCAGAAGAATGCATACTCCGTATGTTAAGTCGCTTAACTCAAGTAAATTGTTTTATTCCAGGCACACCAGAAGAATGCATACTCCGTATGTTAAGTCCCTTAACTTAAGTAAATTGTTGTATTCCAGGCACACCAGAAGAATGCATACTCCGTATGTTAAGTCCTTTAACTTAAGTAAATTGTTTTATTCCAGGCACACCAGAAGAATGCATACTCCGTATGTTAAGTCGCTTAACTTAAGTAAATTGTTTTATTCCAGGCACACCAGAAGAATGCATACTCCGTATGTTAAGTCGCTTAACTTAAGTAAATTGTTTTATTCCAGGCACACGAGAAGAATGCATACCCCGTATGTTTAGTCCCTTAACTTAAGTAAATTGTTTTATTCCAGGCACACCAGAAGAATGCATACTCCGTATGTTAAGTCGCTTAACTTAAGTAAATTGTTTTATTCCAGGCACACCAGAAGAATGCATACTCCGTATGTTAAGTCGCTTAACTTAAGTAAATTGTTTTATTCCAGGCACACCAGAAGAATGCATACTCCGTATGTTAAGTCGCTTAACTTAAGTAAATTGTTTTATTCCAGGCACACCAGAAGAATGCATACTCCGTATGTTAAGTCGCTTAACTTAAGTAAATTGTTTTATTCCAGGCACACCAGAAGAATGCATACTCCGTATGTTAAGTCCCTTAACTTAAGTAAATTGTTTAATTCTTGGCACACCAGAAGAATGCATACTCCGTATGTTTAGTCGCTTAACTTAAGTAAATTGTTTAATTCTTGGCACACCAGAAGAATGCATACTCCTTATGTTAAGTCGCTTAACTTAAGTAAATTGTTTTATTCTTGGCACACCAGAAGAATGCATACTCCGTATGTTAAGTCCCTTAACTTAAGTAAATTGTTTAATTCCAGGCACACCAGAAGAATGCATACTCCGTATGTTAAGTCGCTTAACTTAAGTAAATTGTTTTATTCCAGGCACACCAGAAGAATGCATACTCCGTATGTTAAGTCCCTTAACTTAAGTAAATTGTTTTATTCCAGGCACACCAGAAGAATGCATACTCCGTATGTTAAGTCGCTTAACTTAAGTAAATTGTTTTATTCCAGGCACACGAGAAGAATGCATACCCCGTATGTTAAGTCCCTTAACTTAAGTCGCTTGTTTTATTCCAGGCACACGAGAAGAATGCATACTCCGTATGTTAAGTCCCTTAACTTAAGTAAATTGTTTTATTCCAGGCACACGAGAAGAATGCATACCCCGTATGTTAAGTCCCTTAACTTAAGTCGCTTGTTTTATTCCAGGCACACGAGAAGAATGCATACTCCGTATGTTAAGTCGCTTAACTTAAGTAAATTGTTTTATTCCAGGCACACCAGAAGAATGCATACTCCGTATGTTAAGTCCCTTAACTTAAGTAAATTGTTTTATTCCAGGCACACGAGAAGAATGCATACCCCGTATGTTAAGTCCCTTAACTTAAGTCGCTTGTTTTATTCCAGGCACACGAGAAGAATGCATACTCCGTATGTTAAGTCCCTTAACTTAAGTAAATTGTTTTATTCCAGGCACACCAGAAGAATGCATACTCCGTATGTTAAGTCGCTTAACTTAAGTAAATTGTTTTATTCCAGGCACACCAGAAGAATGCATACTCCGTATGTTAAGTCGCTTAACTAAAGTAAATTGTTTTATTTCAGGCACACCAGAAGAATGCATACTCCGTATGTTAAGTCGCTTAACTTAAGTAAATTGTTTTATTCCAGGCACACCAGAAGAATGCATACTCCGTATGTTAAGTCCCTTAACTTAAGTAAATTGTTTTATTCCAGGCACACCAGAAGAATGCATACCCCGTATGTTAAGTCGCTTAACTTAAGTAAATTGTTTTATTCCAGGCACACCAGAAGAATGCATACTCCGTATGTTAAGTCCCTTAACTTAAGTAAATTGTTTTATTCCAGGCACACCAGAAGAATGCATACTCCGTATGTTAAGTCGCTTAACTTAAGTAAATTGTTTTATTCCAGGCACACCAGAAGAATGCATACCCCGTATGTTAAGTCGCTTAACTTAAGTAAATTGTTTTATTCCAGGCACACCAGAAGAATGCATACCCCGTATGTTAAGTCGCTTAACTTAAGTAAATTGTTTTATTCCAGGCACACCAGAAGAATGCATACTCCGTATGTTAAGTCGCTTAACTTAAGTAAATTGTTTTATTCCAGGCACACCAGAAGAATGCATACCCCGTATGTTAAGTCGCTTAACTTAAGTAAATTGTTTTATTCCAGGCACACCAGAAGAATGCATACTCCGTATGTTAAGTCGCTTAACTTAAGTAAATTGTTTTATTCCAGGCACACGAAAAGAATGCATACCCCGTATGTTAAGTCCCTTAACTTAAGTAAATTGTTTTATTCCAGGCACACCAGAAGAATGCATACTCCGTATGTTAAGTCGCTTAACTTAAGTAAATTGTTTAATTCCAGGCACACCAGAAGAATGCATACCCCGTATGTTAAGTCCCTTAACTTAAGTAAATTGTTTTATTCCAGGCACACCAGAAGAATGCATACCCCGTATGTTAAGTCGCTTAACTTAAGTAAATTGTTTTATTCCAGGCACACCAGAAGAATGCATACCCCGCATGTTAAGTCGCTTAACTTAAGTAAATTGTTTAATTCCAGGCACACCAGAAGAATGCATACTCCGTATGTTAAGTCGCTTAACTTAAGTCGCTTGTTTTATTCCAGGCACACCAGAAGAATGCATACCCCGTATGTTAAGTCGCTTAACTTAAGTAAATTGTTTTATTCCAGGCACACCAGAAGAATGTATACTCCGTATGTTAAGTCGCTTAACTTAAGTAAATTGTTTTATTCCAGGCACACCAGAAGAATGCATACTCCGTATGTTAAGTCGCTTAACTTAAGTAAATTGTTTTATTCCAGGCACACCAGAAGAATGCATACCCCGTATGTTAAGTCGCTTAACTTAAGTAAATTGTTTTATTCCAGGCACACCAGAAGAATGCATACCCCGTATGTTAAGTCGCTTAACTTAAGTAAATTGTTTAATTCCAGGCACACCAGAAGAATGCATACTCCGTATGTTAAGTCGCTTAACTTAAGTAAATTGTTTTATTCCAGGCACACCAGAAGAATGCATACCCCGTATGTTAAGTCGCTTAACTTAAGTCGCTTGTTTTATTCCAGGCACACCAGAAGAATGCATACCCCGTATGTTAAGTCGCTTAACTTAAGTAAATTGTTTTATTCCAGGCACACCAGAAGAATGCATACCCCGTATGTTAAGTCGCTTAACTTAAGTAAATTGTTTTATTCCAGGCACACCAGAAGAATGCATACCCCGTATGTTAAGTCGCTTAACTTAAGTAAATTGTTTTATTCCAGGCACACCAGAAGAATGCATACCCCGCATGTTAAGTCGCTTAACTTAAGTAAATTGTTTAATTCCAGGCACACCAGAAGAATGCATACTCCGTATGTTAAGTCGCTTAACTTAAGTCGCTTGTTTTATTCCAGGCACACCAAAAGAATGCATACCCCGTATGTTAAGTCGCTTAACTTAAGTAAATTGTTTTATTCCAGGCACACCAGAAGAATGCATACTCCGTATGTTAAGTCCCTTAACTTAAGTAAATTGTTTTATTCCAGGCACACCAGAAGAATGCATACTCCGTATGTTAAGTCGCTTAACTTAAGTAAATTGTTTAATTCCAGGCACACCAGAAGAATGCATACTCCGTATGTTAAGTCCCTTAACTTAAGTAAATTGTTTTATTCCAGGCACACCAGAAGAATGCACACTCCGTATGTTAAGTCGCTTAACTTAAGTAAATTGTTTAATTCCAGGCACACCAGAAGAATGCATACTCCGTATGTTAAGTCGCTTAACTTAAGTAAATTGTTTTATTCCAGGCACACCAGAAGAATGCATACCCCGTATGTTAAGTCCCTTAACTTAAGTAAATTGTTTTATTCCAGGCACACCAGAAGAATGCATACCCCGTATGTTAAGTCGCTTAAATTTAGTAAATTGTTTTATTCCAGGCACACCAGAAGAATGCATACCCCGTATGTTAAGTCCCTTAACTTAAGTAAATTGTTTTATTCCAGGCACACCAGAAGAATGCATACCCCGTATGTTAAGTCCCTTAACTTAAGTAAATTGTTTTATTCCAGGCACACCAGAAGAATGCATACCCCGTATGTTTAGTCCCTTAACTTAAGTAAATTGTTTTATTCCAGGCACACCAGAAGAATGCATACTCCGTATGTTAAGTCGCTTAACTTAAGTAAATTGTTTTATTCCAGGCACACCAGAAGAATGCATACTCCGTATGTTAAGTCGCTTAACTTAAGTAAATTGTTTTATTCCAGGCACACCAGAAGAATGCATACTCCGTATGTTAAGTCGCTTAACTTAAGTAAATTGTTTTATTCCAGGCACACCAGAAGAATGCATACTCCGTATGTTAAGTCGCTTAACTTAAGTAAATTGTTTTATTCCAGGCACACCAGAAGAATGCATACTCCGTATGTTAAGTCCCTTAACTTAAGTAAATTGTTTTATTCCAGGCACACCAGAAGAATGCATACTCCGTATGTTAAGTCGCTTAACTTAAGTAAATTGTTTTATTCCAGGCACACCAGAAGAATGCATACTCCGTATGTTAAGTCGCTTAACTTAAGTAAATTGTTTTATTCCAGGCACACCAGAAGAATGCATACTCCGTATGTTAAGTCCCTTAACTTAAGTAAATTGTTTTATTTCAGGCACACCAGAAGAATGCATACCCCGTATGTTTAGTCCCTTAACTTAAGTAAATTGTTTTATTCCAGGCACACCAGAAGAATGCATACTCCGTATGTTAAGTCGCTTAACTTAAGTAAATTGTTTTATTCCAGGCACACCAGAAGAATGCATACTCCGTATGTTAAGTCGCTTAACTTAAGTAAATTGTTTTATTCCAGGCACACCAGAAGAATGCATACTCCGTATGTTAAGTCGCTTAACTTAAGTAAATTGTTTTATTCCAGGCACACCAGAAGAATGCATACTCCGTATGTTAAGTCGCTTAACTTAAGTAAATTGTTTTATTCCAGGCACACCAGAAGAATGCATACTCCGTATGTTAAGTCGCTTAACTTAAGTAAATTGTTTTATTCCAGGCACACCAGAAGAATGCATACTCCGTATGTTAAGTCGCTTAACTTAAGTAAATTGTTTAATTCCAGGCACACCAGAAGAATGCATACTCCGTATGTTAAGTCGCTTAAATTTAGTAAATTGTTTTATTCCAGGCACACCAGAAGAATGCACACTCCGTATGTTAAGTCGCTTAACTTAAGTAAATTGTTTTATTCCAGGCACACCAGAAGAATGCATACTCCGTATGTTAAGTCGCTTAACTTAAGTAAATTGTTTTATTCCAGGCACACCAGAAGAATGCATACTCCGTATGTTAAGTCGCTTAACTTAAGTAAATTGTTTTATTCCAGGCACACGAAAAGAATGCATACCCCGTATGTTAAGTCGCTTAACTTAAGTAAATTGTTTTATTCCAGGCACACCAGAAGAATGCATACTCCGTATGTTAAGTCGCTTAACTTAAGTAAATTGTTTTATTCCAGGCACACGAAAAGAATGCATACCCCGTATGTTAAGTCGCTTAACTTAAGTAAATTGTTTAATTCCAGGCACACCAGAAGAATGCATACTCCGTATGTTAAGTCCCTTAACTTAAGTAAATTGTTTTATTCCAGGCACACCAGAAGAATGCATACTCCGTATGTTAAGTCGCTTAACTTAAGTAAATTGTTTTATTCCAGGCACACCAGAAGAATGCATACCCCGTATGTTAAGTCCCTTAACTTAAGTAAATTGTTTTATTCCAGGCACACCAGAAGAATGCATACTCCGTATGTTAAGTCCCTTAACTTAAGTAAATTGTTTTATTCCAGGCACACCAGAAGAATGCATACCCCGTATGTTAAGTCGCTTAACTTAAGTAAATTGTTTTATTCCAGGCACACCAGAAGAATGCATACCCCGTATGTTAAGTCGCTTAACTTAAGTAAATTGTTTTATTCCAGGCACACCAGAAGAATGCATACTCCGTATGTTAAGTCGCTTAACTTAAGTAAATTGTTTTATTCCAGGCACACCAGAAGAATGCATACTCCGTATGTTAAGTCGCTTAACTTAAGTAAATTGTTGTATTCCAGGCACACCAGAAGAATGCATACTCCGTATGTTAAGTCGCTTAACTTACGTAAATTGTTTTATTCCAGGCACACGAGAAGAATGCACACTCCGTATGTTAAGTCGCTTAACTTAAGTAAATTGTTGTATTCCAGGCACACCAGAAGAATGCATACTCCGTATGAACGACAGATTTCTTGTAGTCAGGTAATTCTGCTCTTTAGCACTCCTACTTTTATTTTATAATGTTAACTGTTCAATGTTAACTGTTAAGTCAGTTCATCGCTCTTTTGTTTCTTGCATTATTATTAACGTTGATTATATAATATTTCAAAAACCATTGATAAAATAATAAATTAAAACCGCATCCCCTCTCGATGTATTGTGGCAACTTTGTTTCCCAAATGTTTGAAAAACAGATCTAAGGTATTGTTTGAGAGTATTTGGAGCACTTTCAAAAATTCTGATATATTTCCTTTATTGTGATACAAGTTGTTTAAAATTACAAAAAAATGTAATCTAATACCTACAGTAATATAAGTATATAAACAGAAATAACAAACTGATACAATGTAGCTCAGATAACTGAAAATCGAATAATCTAAGGGAAGACACATTATTATCTGAATAATATGGGGAACAGCGTCCTCTAGTCTCCTCTACAGACAGCAACAATTTGATTATATTACTTTTAATACGGTTAACTTTTATCGCGATACCACAAACCTTTCTACACTCGTTTTTAAACAATTTTGGATTCAAAAACCAAAACCCCTACTAACCGAAAACCCCGATTTACTGCTGGTTCCTTCCCCCAAAGTCCGCAATAATAATGCCAATCTACTTTACATCATAATATAAACTTGTATCTTAAATACGTCCCTCTCAGTGTGATAAAACATTTGGATGTCAGCAGTCTCTAAAGCGTCACGTGACAACACACGATACTCAGACCCAGTGGAACTGCGAGGCTTGTGGGATCTACTTTCAGAGCTCGTACAATCTGAGGAGGCATCGTCTTATGCAGGTAGTGTAGTTGTCATGGTAACAAGTGTAGTTGTCATGGTAACTAGTGCAGGTTGGTAGTTGTCATGGTAACTTGTGTAGTTTTTATACACTATACACGTGTTATAGTGAACAAGGGCCACCGTCCCAATTTGGTATAATTTACTCGGCATAGCAGGAAATGTATGAGAATTTTACTTTTTAAAGATACAACCCCAAACTACTAACATTTTAATTAGTTTGTTAAGAATTTAAATTTCCTATCTTGCAGCATGTGCGAAAAACCTTGAGATGCCGAGACTGTAATGGTTACTTCGAGACTCTTCACGAATGGTGGAGCCATGTTGATGTAAGTTGCTTTAGCATGTGTTTTATTCTAGGAAGAATCTTCAGGAGGTTCATCTAGTGAAGAAATCCGCTAATTTTTAACTCACATTATATTGGAAGTGTACACCAGACACCTAATTCCTAAATGTACTGATAGAGCCTATGTACACAGAGCAGTGAGCACTGGTGAGCAGTGAGCACTGGTGAGCAGTGAGCACTGGTGAGCAGTGAGCACTGGTGAGCAGTGAGTACTGGTGAGCAGTGAGCACTGGTGAGCAGTGAGTACTGGTGAGCAGTGAGCACTGGTGAGCAGTGAGTACTGGTGAGCAGTGAGCACTGGTGAGCAGTGAGTACTGGTGAGCAGTGAGTACTGGTGAGCAGTGAGCACTGGTGAGCAGTGAGTACTGGTGAGCAGTGAGCACTGGTGAGCAGTGAGTACTGGTGAGCAGTGAGCACTGGTGAGCAGTGAGCACTGGTGAGCAGTGAGTACTGGTGAGCAGTGAGCACTGGTGAACAGTGAGCACTGGTGAGCAGTGAGCACTGGTGAGCAGTGAGCACTGGTGAGCAGTGAGCACTGGTGAGCAGTGAGCACTGGTGAGCAGTGAGCACTGGTGAGCAGTGAGCACTGGTGAGCAGTGAGCACTGGTGAGCAGTGAGCACTGGTGAGCAGTGAGCACTGGTGAGCAGTGAGCACTGGTGAGCAGTGAGCACTGGTGAGCAGTGAGCACTGGTGAGCAGTGAGCACTGGTGAGCAGTGAGCACTGGTGAGCAGTGAGCACTGGTGAGCAGTGAGCACTGGTGAGCAGTGAGCACTGGTGAGCAGTGAATACTGGTGAGCAGTGGGCACTGGTGAGCAGTGAGCACTGGTGAGCAGTGAGCACTGGTGAGCAATGGGCACTGGTGAGCAGTGAGCACTGGTGAGCAGTGAGCACTGGTGAGCAGTGAGTACTGGTGAGCAGTGGGCACTGGTGAGCAGTGAGCACTGGTGAGCAGTGAGCACTGGTGAGCAGTGAGCAATGGTGAGCAGTGAGCACTGGTGAGCAGTGAGTACTGGTGAGCAGTGAGCACTGGTGAGCAGTGAGCACTGGTGAGCAGTGAGCACTGGTGAGCAGTGAGCACTGGTGAGCAGTGAGCACTGGTGAGCAGTGAGCAATGGTGAGCAGTGAGCACTGGTGAGCAGTGAGTACTGGTGAGCAGTGAGCACTGGTGAGCAGTGAGCACTGGTGAGCAGTGAGCACTGGTGAGCAGTGAGTACTGGTGAGCAGTGAGCACTGGTGAGCAGTGAGCACTGGTGAGCAGTGAGCACTGGTGAGCAGTGAGCACTGGTGAGCAGTGAGCACTGGTGAGCAGTGAGCACTGGTGTTTACACTTTTATTATACACTTGAGACAGACTACAGTGAATATAATTAGCTAATTGTTTAGATCTAAAACGTTATTTGATGTTGATACCTACCGGCCATTTCCTGGTATCAACTAGGCAATATCACACACACACGCGGTATTACATAACTTCTACAGAGTCATCCTAAGAAGAAGTACCTGTGTACAGAGTGTCCCCTCTCATTTAACAACAACAAGAACCGGAAGAGACACTCCCTAGTGCACACAACGCAGAAATCCTTCCATTGTGGCCTGTGTGACAAATCCTTCAAGGTCAGTAGTTACTGTACTAACTGTTTTTGAGTAGTATAATACATGATGTCAATTGTATCGTGTATGTGTGTATAGTGTTATTTGTCTTTTCAAAGCACTTTAACTTTTTAAATGTTAAAGATGTGTTTAAAAAAACGTTCACATATATTCGATCTAGAACAATCTACTGAGCTGTATAGTGATACAGTAGTAGTACTATAAATAGAAAAAGCTTAATATAATGAGGTGATATTATGTAAGATGATCTAACTTATTGGTTATTAAAATAAAGCAAATATTTGAATACTCACTTGCTGCAGTTAAAGAAGAGTCTAACTTATTCGTTATTAACATAAAGCCAATATTTGAATACTCACTTGCTGCAGTTAAAGAAGAGTCTGGTGTACCACCAGATGCACCGACACCTCCGAGTGCGAGGCTACCAGTGTCACCGGTGCGGGAACAAGTTCTCCCGAAAGTGCATCCTAACAGAACACCTCAAAACCCACTCCCCCAAAACCCTGTCCTGTCCTGTGGACACGTGCCATGCCACATTCCACACCAAGTACAGGGTAGCATGTCACGTGGCAACCTGCCACCACTCTTATTTTATACAGACTCGTCGGCTCCGGGCTGCTAGTGCCCAGGATAAAAACAGAATGATAAGACAGAGTCAGTATTACATTCAGAACGATTATATGTACGGGTTTAATTCTTGCTATAATTATGGGTAATGGTAGGTTTATTAATTAGGTTAAGTAAAAGTTGGCTATTGCAGTAACCTTTTCAGTTTTTATGGGTTGTACCACTGTACCGGGGCTTAATTTTAGTTTAAATCATTTTAAAAGCGCTTATCTTCCCGCAGCAGCAGGGATATAACTTGTAAAGTGATTATCGTGATGTACAAATGTATAGTCTAATTGTTAAATGAGCTAGTAACCGACTGCAGTAAACATGCTGTACAAGACTTTTCTTCTGTAACAGTTCAGGATGTTCAACCAAATCAGATACAAATTTGAAATACTGTAAGTATCTGTATGGTGTAAGATTACTACTGCAATCTGAACTTCTGTCTTTTCTTAAGCAACTTTCCACCTAGCTTTTGATGATATTCCTTGTATTTTTCCATAAAATATGAACTGATCAAGAAGTCCATAAGCTTGATATTTCAACACTAAGTCTCGCTTGAATGCCTTAAATGTACATCTCTGTTGGGTATATTTTTATGTCGAAGCGTGTAATAAATGTTATAATTTATTTATTTATTAATTATTTTGCTACAGAATGTGTCACGAGATAGCAGCACCTGGTTTAATCTGGTTCGGAGTACTGACAAACCTCAAGAATATTAGTCTAGAACGCGGTATCCTCTGTTATTCCAAACTTTACCGGGCAGGTAAAACCTCTCCCTGGTTCTACTTCTTCCATATTATTACTGATAAGAACAGTCAGTTTTGTTTTCTGGAAAACGACAGACAGTATCAGGACACTATTCTCTCGTTCATAGAGGATAATGCCACGAGTATTCCTAAATATCTTCTGAAACGGTTTTCCCACAATTTGTCAAGGCAGGAGCATATAGAGAGGTTTAAAAACCATTTCGAAGACGAGGTTGCAGTGGTAGGTACTGTTTCAGACGAGGTTGCAGTGGTAGGTACTGTTTCAGACGAGGTTACAGTGGTAGGTACTGTTTCAGAGTGCAAGCGGAGGTTATCATCCCCTATCTTACCTGACAGCAAACATGTTTGTTTAGACCGTCCCAGAGCTCCTGAGAAGTTGGTGTCTACTGATGTTATCATGATTCAAGATCCTATAATCAGTATAACCAACGATCCTATAATCAGTACAACTGAGGATCCTAGAATCAGTATGACCGAGAATCCTATAATCAGTATGACCGACGATCCTATAGTCAGTATAACCGAGGATTCAGAAATAAAAAAACCGGAAGTGACTCTGTTATCAGTGGAAGAGTTGCTGTTATTAGACGATACTCAATTAATATCACATTTAGCCGGGTTCTCACAGGGATGTGATAGTAAACAGTTTGTAGATGTCAGTTACAAAGATCTGAACACTGTTTTTAATCGGGCCAAAAACTTTCCAGTAGCGCTACAGAACTTTATTAGTGCTGTTGTTGTTCCGTTTCTTGCTGGCAAGAAAGTTTGCACCAGAAACGACAGTTCCATCATATCGGAATGTCTGGAATGTGATTATATTAATCATGTTTCATTTGTTTTAGACATCTTGAAAACGTGCAGAAAACAAATCATTGGTGGGACTGCGAAAATTGTGATTCTGAAACCAGCCAAACTAGATAATATCTTATCTGGGTTTTCTGATTTATTGTTGTGGAATGAAGACATAACGGCATTCCTTGTTTTGGTCGTAAAAGACACGTGTAGTGTAGCAGCTATTGGAAAGGTTCTGCAATATTTGGTTATTAATTCTGATGAGAAGTCCTCTAAATCATGTTCACTGGCAATGCAAATACTTGCCAGTTATTGGCCAGTTGCCAGTTATTCTAAACACGACACTATTGTTGAGTTGTGCTCGCAGTTTGCTGATCGTAGCAAGTGCTTCCTGAGGAAAGCATTACAGCAAAAGTTAGATAATATCCAAGAATGTTGAGTCATACAAATGTTGAGTCATACAAATGTTGAGTCCTTGTGTAAATTTGTATTGATCCCGTTTGATGCGACAAGGAAAAATGCTCTTATCAGGAAAGGAATAACTGAATAACTCAACGTTTCGATGTTGCAACATCGTATTCATGATCTTTTTTTAACATTTTGAAATTTTGATAGAAATATTTTTAGATCATGAATACGATATTGTAACATCGAATTGTTGAGTAATTCCTTTCCTGATAAGAGCATTTTTCCTTGTCGCATCAAACGGGATCAATACAAATTTACACAAGAATACATTGCAACCATGCGACTCATAAACAATATTCCAATCCGGATTTTACAAATGTTGAGTCATATACAAAATACATATAATAATGTTGTTTTTTTTCTATTTTTGATTTAATTTTCATATATTATCATTTTTGTGACATTGCTCCACTTGACTTTAGGTGCTTCAATGAAATTTCCAATAGTTTAGTTTCACGAAATCTAACCGATTAAATTTGTATTTATTGTTGTACATATAATCTTTTAAATAATATATTGTATAATATATCGTGTTTCTTATTTGTTTCACAAAATCATTGTGAACTTGTAAAGTTATCAGTTTACCCAAATTCCAATCACATTTCACCACCACACCTAACTCACTACAATGCTGTAGCTAATATGGCGGTGACTCGGCGCAAGCTGTATGAGCCTAGCGCTGAAGACCAGGCCTCGAACCAATCTGCGGAGGAATCGCCCAAGATAAAGCCAATGCCAACAAGCAGGAAAATAAGCGCTATATTCTTCTTTGCTCTTAGTGCCTTCATCATTCTGGTAATTAACAGATACATTTCGGCTGATTTACTTTTTTAATTCAAATATTAGTGGCAGTTTGTAGTTTTGGACAGAAAACAAAATGAAGCTAATAATTATGATAATTATAATGATAATTATAATAATAATTGAGTAACCATGGAAACATCCCAGTTCTTGCTGTATACCACGTATCAGAGGCATTGGAGGGTGAACACCATCAAGTCAGGCTTAGTCGACATCGAGAAGGGAATTGCTCTGCCACAAAACGTTAGTTATATCACTGGACATTAACAAACTGTAGATTTATTGGAGACTGTGACAAATTTTACAGCAGTCTCATACAATGTTATAACAAATTCCTGGGATGCAGCAGTTTCCAACTTTAGGAACAATAGCATTCCATAAACCGTATGCTCTTGAAGATATATCCCCTCATGAGCTCAAAGCTCAACATTGACATGATAAATGATTTCGATGTAGTAAATTTTAATCTGCACCCAAATGATGCCTATCGTTTACATTGTTTACATCTATCAAATTCCTTTATCACTCCTTCAATACATGTTTGTAATATGATAGTCTGAACCCAATACCATAACGAAGTGTGAAGTAATTATAGGCTCCTCTGAAGGCAGGTATGTGATGTGTAACACAAATCTCTCAGAAACGTATACTGGTTGTCTGTGATGTGTAACACAAATCTCTCAGAAACGTATACTGGTTGTCTGTGATGTGTAACACAAATCTCTCAGAAACGTATACTGGTTGTCTGTGAGGTGTAACACAAATCTCTCAGAAACGTATACTGGTTGTCTGTGATGTGTAACACAAATCTCTCAGAAACGTATACTGGTTGGAGTAGGAGGATGTCTTGATATATTCGTGCGAGCAGCGGATCTGATGGACGCTCTGTCGGTCTCACCGCCCGAATCTATTGGTGACCCTCCTCAGGGTCTCAACTCTTTGGAAGACGTTGTCACAGAATTCTTAACATTCTTTGTTGAGGGGGCTGCTGCTGAGTAAGATACTTAAATATATAAATATATAATATATGTATAAATATATTACATTATATACATTTTTGATGTGCATACTGTGAGGTTTTATGCATCAGCTGTGCATATAATCTACGTAAGAATTACAATTTCAAAAGTTACTGTAATCTGTAGTAGACGTTATGTTAGTCGTTAGTGTCTGTATTGGATTACATTTGCTGAAATTCATCGATTAAATAACGTTGATAAGGGTACTGTCTTGACCAATATTTTGTATTTCAGGCGGTATGTACAATCTGAGGAACTCTGGTTGAAGATTAGAGCTGCAGCGCTTAGTTTAGGTCCTGAGTTGAAATTAGGAGGCAATGGACCAGTTATTGCTAAGAGAATGGTTGAAGAGGGGGCTGAGGTTTTACTGGCTATCCAGAACGAGAAGGTAAGGATCGTATCCAGGAAGTTAATTACTATATCAACTACAGTCTACCATGTCAATTTTGGAGTTTCCTTAAATTAGACACGTTAATCGATTCTAGTTGTGACGCGCGGAGACATTTTGTTGAACTTTTCATCACTGTCAGCCTCAATAATGGGTCATTAGTTTGGACGTGAACGCGCGCGTGGTACCTGTAAATAAATAAATTTACTCACATCTAACTTGTGTACTGTCTAATTAATTTAAGTGTATAAAAGTGTATTTAAGACTTGGTAATATTTTCGTCACACCTGGTTACCTCTTTAAGGAACCACTTACCAAGTTCACACAAGGATATAGAGCTTAAGACAGCAGTTGTGAGTATATAAACAATTATAGTTCAGGTCAGATTAATTTGTCATTACTCTCTCGTTAAAAGCCTTATTATTTTCAGATATACCGGGACAGAATAATAAAAGAAATTAAGATGCCCGGTGAGACTGTGGATACAGAAAGTGAAGATTACGACCTGCATATTATTCTTGAGTTTGATAAGGGAGACAAGTGGGGACCTTACATGGCTACACGTGGAAACAGGTACTTTAGAAGTCAGGTTAATTCCTGAAACACCCGTTTTTACCTCAAATTCAATTAGTTGCTATAATTACAATATCCATAACAATCAGAAGCATTTTATATGGTGTTCTACATCCCACTGATAACACCTAATACTCAGGTACATTGTACACCTAATCACACCTAATACTCAGGTACATTGTACACAGAGATAACACCTAATACTCAGGTACATTGTACACACTGATAACACCTAATACTCAGGTACATTGTACACTGATAACACCTAATACTCAGGTACATTGTACACTGATAACACCTAATACTCAGGTACATTGTACACCTGATAACACCTAATACTCAGGTACATTGTACACAGAGATAACACCTAATACTCAGGTACATTGTACACACTGATAACACCTAATACTCAGGTACATTGTACACTGATAACACCTAATACTCAGGTACATTGTACACACTGATAACACCTAATACTCAGGTACATTGTACACACTGATAACACCTAATACTCAGGTACATTGTACACACTGATAACACCTAATACTCAGGTACATTGTACACTGATAACACCTAATACTCAGGTACATTGTACACCTGATAACACCTAATACTCAGGTACATTGTACACCTGATAACACCTAATACTCAGGTACATTGTACACCTGATAACAATACTCAGGTACATTGTACACCTAATAACACCTAATACTCAGGTACATTGTACACACTGATAACACCTAATACTCAGGTACATTGTACACTGATAACACCTAATACTCAGGTACATTGTACACCTAATAACACCTAATACTCAGGTACATTGTACACCTAATAACACCTAATACTCAGGTACATTGTACACACTGATAACACCTAATACTCAGGTACATTGTTCACTGATAACACCTAATACTCAGGTACATTGTACAGTGATAACACCTAATACTCAGGTACATTGTACACTGATAACACCTAATACTCAGGTACATTGTACACTGATAACACCTAATACTCAGGTACATTGTACACTGATAACACCTAATACTCAGGTACATTGTACACTGATAACACCTAATACTCAGGTACATTGTACACTGATAACACCTAATACTCAGGTACATTGTACACCTGATAACACCTAATACTCAGGTACATTGTACACTGATAACACCTAATACTCAGGTACATTGTACACAGAGATAACACCTAATACTCAGGTACATTGTTCACTGATAACACCTAATACTCAGGTACATTGTACACTGATAACACCTAATACTCAGGTACATTGTACACAGAGATAACACCTAATACTCAGGTACATTGTACACTGATAACACCTAATACTCAGGTACATTGTACACAGATAACACCTAATACTCAGGTACATTGTACACCTGATAACACCTAATACTCAGGTACATTGTACACCTGATAACACCTAATACTCAGGTACATTGTACACCTAATAACACCTAATACTCAGGTACATTGTACACCTGATAACACCTAATACTCAGGTACATTGTACACTGATAACACCTAATACTCAGGTACATTGTACACAGAGACCTCCACAACCCGCAACTCAAAGGTCTGGCTGCAGTCCGGTCCGCTGTTAAAGATTTTAAACCTCATCTTGTGGTACTGGGTGGTCTTCAGATGCTAGACACTTATCCTTTCACTGAGGAGGAACTTAATGCTAGGTCAGTAGAAACAGCCAGACATGTACTTTAAGCATCACTATTGGTCATTAAATACACTAATACAGGCACACGTTCTCAACTTTGACCCACAACAGTAACTTTTACAATGTATTCAACCCTGTTGGCGACTTGTTGTGCTATCAGCCATAACTCATTTAATTATTAATATTTTCATGATTATGATTTAATCATAATCATGAAAACAGATACATATGTACAATTTTACGCATTTCAGATTAAACGAACTTGACGAATTCCTGTCAGAGCTACCATCTGATACTTTGGTTCACTTCGAGATGGCCTCTTTTGTTAACCCACACTTCTTGAAGAGGCTCACTGACGTTATTCTACCTTACTCCGACTCGATTGGAATGAACGAACAAGAGCTTCCCAATCTTAGTTCTCTTATTAAATCAGGTAAAAAAATGACACAAACATCGTCACACGTCATCACAAATATTTCTAAAAAAAATTAAAAGTTTGGATAAAATTCTAGGTACAAAGACCCAGTAAAAATCTACCTAATTATACTTTCTATTACTATATAAATTATAAAGGTGATTATTAAAAACTGGTCGGGTCACATTTTTCATGTAATCGACAATGAATATAAATGATTAAAATCTGTGCGGAGGTTCAATAATAATCCTCGCATGTGCATTTCCTGTTGGGATTATTGTCTTAACAGCTCCAGCTGTAACACACAAAACACTAATTAGCATTCTGAGCACCCCAAATTGAAAAATATTATTTCACTTCTGTCTTTCTTCGGTCACGGGTCACGGTATCTTGTATTTCTGCGGTCACGGGTACGGTCACGGTATCTTGTATTTTTGAGTCCTGGCTTGACTATAAATATCACTGTCGCCACATTAACGCCTGATGTGAAGCTCTATTCGAAGTATCTGGACACTTCATAAACGTTAACCCCGCCATCTGTAGGTGCGGTCCAACAGTGCCGTTTAAACATTCTCCCATTATCCCTGATAACAGTAGCAGTTTTGACCAAACTCAGAGTTCCGGACTCCGTGTAAGATCTACCTCGAATAACTCTGGTATAACCCGCCAAACGACCTTTCAGTTCCTGCTGGAATTCTATCATTCTTTCTCTTTCATCGGGCGCAAGCTTTGTAAAAATTTCACAACTTCCACATCCCATGTTCATAATAGCAGATATACTCTTGATTTTGGACCAGCGTTTAGCTTGCATTCTGTCCATTGCAACTCCGGTGGCCACAAAGGAAGTGGCCAAGACAACTTTGCAAAAAGCAGCTGCTCCGGCTATGACAACCCCACAAGCAACAAATCCACAAAGTCCAATTGCCACCACGCTAGCCACTGCTGCCACAGACCCCAAGATAGCTTCCTCACAGACTCCTACTTTCACCCAGATTGGTTCGGGTGTGTCGTTTAGCACTGAGAATGAAGATCCCATAGTCGGGTGTGTTCCATCTAATCCTTGCGATGAAACATTTAATTGAGTGATTCAATTTATTTCAAGCAATCGATTCTGTTGATGATGCTACTTAATTTTAAATTATGTCAACTACATTAATTCCTCCATGCAACCGTTTGCTTTCAATTCGAGAAATTCAAAAACGTTTGATATTAAATTGTATCGTGAATCCAGTACCTCAGATATAACGGAGAATTCTACAGAAATCAAAAATCCCAAAAAAAAACAGGTGCACGCAGCAAGCTGAACAAAACAAATTAAATCAAATCGGCATACGAGTACTAACGCAATGAATTGCACTCTGTACGCTCTAAAGATGCTCTAGACAGTGTACATCTACTCCATGAGGTACACACTACACACACTCTAGTAGTTACATAATATCAGTCATAATATGTTGTCTTCATATTATCACAGGTTATCAGCATACTCTGTGAAGATATTCATTATTCATTTATATTCAAGACATTGTAAAAGATGTAAACAATTTGGGAGTATGATATTTTTTCCGTTCACCCTTTTGTAAAAAGGCAATAGTGAAAGGTTACGAATGGACGTTTTTGCAGAAAAACGTGGATTTTGGAGATAGCGGTAGGCGGGTCTGAATATGTTGTCATCTGTCCTTACTTCCGTCCGTTACCATGACAACCAGCGCACAGTGCAGCGCGCGAGGATTGCTTGCGGAGATGTGATGTATAGATAGCCTGTGGTCAATGAATGCGCGGCGCGACTGTATTTCACTGTATAACGGTGTAATGTATAGTATTAGGTTATAAGCCCAATTTGTACGTGGCATGCGTAGTATAGTCTACTAATGTGTATCAATATTATTATTATGAAGTGAGCTGATTGGAGCTTATATTTATAGTTATAGTGAACGGAAATCTAGCGTCCGCCAAAACGAAACAACGGGCGCAATTCTTGTTTATAAACTTAATCTGCTATTCTATAAATCAAATACCTGATCTGGTGGTGGTGTGCCTACTGCATACAATAGTTACCTCAACGATGTACAGTATTTATCAGATAGTGAACTACAATATCATCATCGTGGTGCTAAGTGTGGTTGCTAAGCGTGGTGCTAAGTGTGGTGCTAAGTGTGGTGCTAAGTGTGGTGCTAAGTGTGGTGCTATGTGTGGTGCTATGTGTGGTTAGGCTGTTAAAATGCTCACATAATTGTGAGCCACAAATTCTAAAGTTAAACTTCTAAAGCTGTAAAAGTTATCCTTCACAGTCCTCACTAAACCAAACACTCTCAGGAACCATCGTTTACATCAGCGACAGCAAGATAAAAGTCTCCCAAACAATGGACCACACCCGTGAACTGTTAGCTATCCTCAACGACCTGCCTCGACACAAGCCCCTAACTCGAGTACACATTCACACCCTGGCTTATCAAGCTGTGTTTACTGTCAGGGAGAATGATAAGTGGATGAGTGGAATAACAACTGCTGTTAAATCTAGCCTCACTGCTACCAGGTGAGCTCTTTATAGGGGGGGGGGGGGGGTCACTGCTACCAGGTGAGCTGTTTATAGGGGGGGGGGGTCACTGCTACCAGGTGAGCTCTTTATACGACCTTTATGGAAACTAAAGTACAGCTATAGTCTGTACTATACAGGGGGGGGGGGGTCACTGCTACCAGGTGAGCTCATTATACGGGGGGGGGGGGGGGGGGTCACTGCTACCAGGTGAGCTCTTTATACGGGGGGGGGGGGGGTCACTGCTACCAGGTGAGCTCTTTATACGACCTTTATGGAAACTAAAGTACAGCTATAGTCTGTACTATACAGGGGGGGGGGTCACTGCTACCAGGTGAGCTGTTTATAGGGGGGGGGGGGGGTCACTGCTACCAGGTGAGCTGTTTATAGGGGGGGTCACTGCTACCAGGTGAGCTCTTTATACGACCTTTATGGAAACTAAAGTACAGCTATAGTCTGTACTATACAGGGGGGGGGGGGTCACTGCTACCAGGTGAGCTCTTTATACGACCTTTATGGAAACTAAAGTACAGCTATAGTCTGTACTATACAGGGGGGGGGGGGGGTCACTGCTACCAGGTGAGCTTTTTATACGACCTTTATGGAAACTAAAGTACAGCTATAGTCTGTACTATACAGCGGGGGGGGGGGGGTCACTGCTACCAGGTGAGCTCATTATACGGGGGGGGGGTCACTGCTACCAGGTGAGCTCTTTATACGGGGGGGGGGGGGGGTCACTGCTACCAGGTGAGCTCTTTATACGACCTTTATGGAAACTAAAGTACAGCTATAGTCTGTATTATACAGGGGGGGGGGGTCACTGCTACTAGGTGAGCTCTTTATACGGGGGGGGGGGGGGGGTCACTGCTACCAGGTGAGCTCTTTATACGGGGGGGGGGGGGGGGGGGTCACTGCTATCAGGTGAGCTCTTTATACGACCTTTATGGAAACTAAAGTACAGCTATAGTCTGTACTATACAGGGGGGGGGGGGGGGGTCACTGCTACCAGGTGAGCTCTTTATACGACCTTTATGGAAACTAAAGTACAGCTATCGTCTGTACTATACAGGATAAACCTAGAACTTTAATTAGATATTTTCGCGAAACCAAGATTCTGTTTTTAACCTCCTTTTTAATTTCCCTCCTATCCCAGATACGTATGTGGAGATGAGAGTATAGACTCTACCAAGATAAAGATGATTCTAGACGAGTCGTTCTCCTCCTCCTCTATACCTGGTTCTCAGAGGATCCCCATTATTGACTCTACCCCTGTCAGCTGCTGGCCTGACGGTCCTTACGAGGTAGGATAATTGTTAGTAGGGTATTAGTAGGGGGGGGGGGGGGGGGGAGTAGTAGGAGTTAGTAGGGGGGGGGGGAGTCATGAGTACCCCCCCCCCTAGTAATAAGTATTAGTAGGGGGGGGGGGGGGGGGAGTAGTAGGAGTTAGTAGGGGGGGGGAGTCATAAGTACCCCCCCCCCCCCCCTAGTAATAATCTATCAACTGTAACTAAATAGTAAAGTGAATAATCTTTACTTATATTTATAACGAGTATGTAATAAGTATTAGTAGGGGGGGGGGGGGGGGGGGGGGAGTAGTAGGAGTTAGTAGGGGGGGGGGTCATGAGTACCCCCCCCCCCCTAGTAATAAGTATTAGTAGGGGGGGGGGGAGTAGTAGGAGTTAGTAGGGGGGGGGGGAGTCATGAGTACCCCCCCCCCCCCCCCTAGTAATAAGTATTAGTAGGGGGGGAGTAGTAGGAGTTAGTAGGGGGGGGGGGAGTCATGAGTACCCCCCCCCCCCCCCCTAGTAATAAGTATTAGTAGGGGGGGGGGAGTAGTAGGAGTTAGTAGGGGGGGGGAGTCATGAGTACCCCCCCCCCCCCCCCCCCCCCCCCCCCCCCCCCCCCCCCCCCCCCCCCCCCCCCCCCCCCCCCCCCCCCCCCCCCCCCCCCCCTAGTAATAATCTATCAACTGTAACTAAATAGTAAAGTGAATAATCTTTACTTATATTTATAACGATGTGCGAATTAGCCATTGACGAATTACTTTCATATCGTGTTTTTTATTGATATCTTTCGTTACGAAAGTGGAAATTGACGTCTGTTGCTTTATATTTTAATTTAACAATCTAACTGACATTACACTTCAGATCTGTCTAGCTCCGGTTCTAGTTTGTACACAGATAAAACAAACAGGTGGTGGTGGTGATAACCTGACCGGGGTGGGACTACTTTACCACCTCAAATAGGTGATAACCTGACCGGGGTGGGACTACTTTACCACCTCAAATAGGTGATAACCTGACCGGGGTGGGACTGCTTTACCACCTCAAGTAGGTCTGTTTCGTGGGCTTCAGTAAGAATCCTCATGTCAAGTCTGATTTACTGGCGATGTATGGTTATTGGTTAAGCGTAACAATTTACATCAAAAAACTTACTACTCTTCGATAGATTTTACCTTCGAAGATGGGAACAGTATAAGCTCAGGATGAAGCAATGTTTTGCTGATAATTCTGATATAATTTATTAAAAATTAATTTTTTTCATCGCTCTTCTTTTGATGATAATTCTTATTGTTTATAAAACTTGCTTTAAATGCGTGATAAATACAATCTTTTGCGTGATAAATACATTCTTTTGCGTGATTGGTAGTAGTGAACTATGGACTCAGAAGAAATAGATTTATAAGTTAAATAGTCCTTAAAATATGTACAGTTTTTTATCAAATATAAATGAAATGAGTTTGTGCGTTTGTGCGTTTATTTGTTCGCTTGATGTATCTCATAATATCATTACTATTATTACTTTACAATTTTAGTTTTACTCCATGAGTATGATTCATTTTCGGCTGGCTTGTGCGATCCTTAGCAAAAACAAAGTGTATCGAGAAAAAAAACGGAAAAGATGATCAGTGGAAATTGTACCATAAATTACAAGTCTTACTAGCTTGCAGCATAACTGATATTGTAACTAAATGATATACTACTAGTTTACTTATAACTGTATTTACTATGCTATATATCTATGTAGGATGAATAGTAAGATAACTAAGAATGAGAGGACGAGATGAGAGAGAATGAACAAGTTTTACAGATGTGAATGTTTTGCCTCACACAATGTGTTCATAGCAAAGTACAGACTACATGTCAAGTACCAGAATGAGGAACAGTTTTGGAACGACTATGGAGATGTTAGTCTTTGTTAGATCTTCATTATTTAACTGTTTAAACTGATGTTCAATGTTCATTATTTCAAACTGAGCGGTTTTTTAAGGGTTTCAAGTATCGGTTTTATAATCGATCGCAATTCTTTAAAATTGATTTCCCCGGAGTTTGGACAGTAAGTTTCCCTTACGTTTTTCTTTTAATCTAAAATTAAGCTTCTTAACAAGGTCCTCAAAGAGAGAGGGATGACGGACAGAGGCAAAGTTCTAGAACATGTCAAAACAGAGGTCCAAAGGCGGCTGAATCTAGACGACATGATCACGAGAAATACTGAATATGCTAAGAAGAACTACACGCCTCTTTACCCTCAGATTAGATCATTCAAGGTGGCTGGGGATACTTGTTGCACTGGGGGAAGGGATAGAGATTATATCTTTTTGAAGGACAAAAATTGAGTTCAACTGTTGATTATAAGATTCCCAAAAAAAGTTACTATGAAATAAAGTGCCGACCTTTAATAAACCTACATCTCAGAGAGAGGTACTATGAAATAAAGTGTTGACCTCTAATAAACCTACTTCTCAGAGAGAGGTACTATGAAATAAAGTGTTGACCTTTAATAAACCTACTTCTCAGAGAGAGGTACTATGAAATAAAGTGTTGACCACTAATAAACATACTTCTCAGAGAGAGGTACTATGAAATAAAGTGTTGACCTCTAATAAACCTACATCTCAGAGAGAGGTACTATGAAATAAAGTGCCGACCTCTAATAAACCTACATCTCAGAGAGAGGTACTATGAAATAAAGTGTTGACCACTAATAAACCTACTTCTCAGAGAGAGGTACTATGAAATAAAGTGCCGACCTCTAATAAACCTACTTCTCAGAGAGAGGTACTATGAAATAAAGTGCCGACCTCTGATAAACCTACTTCTCAGAGAGAGGTACTATGAAATAAAGTGCCGACCTCTAATAAACCTACTTCTCAGAGAGAGGTACTATGAAATAAAGTGCCGACCTCTGATAAACCTACTTCTCAGAGAGAGGTACTATGAAATAAAGTGTTGACCACTAATAAACCTACTTCTCAGAGAGAGGTACTATGAAATAAAGTGTTGACCACTTATAAACCTACTTCTCAGAGAGAGGTACTATGAAATAAAGTGCCGACCTCTAATAAAGCTACTTCTCAGAGAGAGGTACTATGAAATAAAGTGTTGACCACTAATAAACCTACTTCTCAGAGAGAGGTACTATGAAATAAAGTGTTGACCTCTAATAAACCTACATCTCAGAGAGAGGTACTATGAAATAAAGTGCCGACCTCTAATAAACCTACATCTCAGAGAGAGGTACTATGAAATAAAGTGCCGACCTCTGATAAACCTACTTCTCAGAGAGAGGTACTATGAAATAAAGTGTTGACCTCTAATAAACCTACATCTCAGAGAGAGGTACTATGAAATAAAGTGCCGACCTCTAATAAACCTACATCTCAGAGAGAGGTACTATGAAATAAAGTGTTGACCACTAATAAACCTACTTCTCAGAGAGAGTGGTTTGATCCTATGTTTATAGAACTAATAAAGCTACTTCTCAGAGAGAGTGGTTTGATCCTAAGTTTATAGAACTTGCTGAGGTGTGTGCTGATCGTCTACTCAGTAAAAGTCAGATAATTGACAGATATCTCGATACTATCGGTGAGAAAACTAATATTTGAGATGTGGTTTATCATGCTGGTCCTTGAGAGAGTTAGTATCTTGTTCCTTACCTTTAGTGTAATGTGTTTATGTAATCACTGTGTATGATTTTAGGTGCCGAGATTTACACGATCCGAGCGTTTACCCCCCAGTTTTGTTCTCAACTTGTAGAAGAACTTGATAACTTTAACGAGAAAATTCTTCAAAGAAGTCGACCCAACACAATGAATACTTCTGGGGTAAGAAAGTAAGAATTCTTATGAATAAAGTTGATTAAAGAGAGAAACTTTACAGAGCACACAAACCATTTTAGGCAAATAAGGACATCAGAAATCATCTTAATCATATCTTTATAGTATCTTAATTAATAGTAACGACTGAAATTGTTATTTCCTCTCAAAGTCCCCTTGTATCTACAAGAACACAACATTGAAGTTTAACCAGTGTAACCTGCAGGTAATAGTGGAGGAGTTTGGACTGCTTGACTTTGTGAACCAGGCTATATCTAACCTATTATCTCCGATATCTAGTGTTATATTCCCGGAGTGGTACGGATCTGGTACTGACTCTCATAAGGTACATATCATGTAACATGACTGACTTGACTTAAGGCGGCTTCAGCGTCCGAGTATTGATGCGCTGTCTCCATAGAACTCTATCCGCCATAAGTCCGCCAACTTCTCCAGTGTCGTTGATACCCGTGTCAGCTCGTAGGCTATCAACATAAGTCATGGCTGGTCTTCCCCTACTCCGCACCCCATGAGTTGGTTCCCAGAGTAGCAAGCGGTTTGCGACTAGTTCTGGGTGCCGGTGGATATGACCTACTAGTCGCATCCTGCGCTCTTGGATCTTCATGGTTGCTCTCGGTAGGTTGCCATAGACTTCTTTGTTGGTTTTGCGCTGCTTCCAATCCACATTTAGTGCCATCCTTAGCATTCTAGTGTAGCAGCCATCAATGCGTTTCTTCAATTGCTCTGTCAACGTCCACGTTTCAGAACCATAAAGAAGTATTGACTCCACAGTAGCAACAAATAGACGGATCTTTAGTCCTCTTCTAAGGTCAGACTTCCACATCTTCTTTAGCTTGTGGCAGGCTGCCCAGGGCCCAGGCCTTAGCTTTTCTGACCCGCAGGTCCCTCTCTGTTGTTGCTATCCATGCTCCAAGGTAAACAAAGTCTTTAGTAACATAACAATTACTAAATTGTAATAGTTTTAACCTATTTGGTTAGGTCCTAGTTTTTATAATCGACATGTTCAAGAAAAATATAGAGATATAAATGTAAATACTTGCTAGCTGTGTTATGTCCTCATTATACAGCGCGAGGACACAAAACACAACCCCCCGCTGGCAAATATTCAAATTTGTTTGTTGTGTTGCAACCCTCACTAACTAACTAACCCTCACTAACTGGCCCTCTCAGAGTTTCAGTCTGAGGTATGAGCTAGGGAAGGACACTGAGCTGGCTTATCACTACGATAACGCGGAGATCACGTTTAACTTTTGTTTAGGGAACAAGTTCTCTGGAGCTGAAGTCTACTTTACTCATATGACGTCTGTAAGTAATAGGGGGATTTGGGTATCGCGACAATTGACCCCCCGACAATTGACCCCCCGACAATTGACCCCCTATGTAATTACACTGGGGTCAATTGTCGCGAAATCTAGGGTTTAGAACTCGACAATTGATCGGGTTAGGGTGAGGGTCCTGGGTCAGGGTCCTGGGTCAGGGTCAGGGTCAGGGTCAGGGTCAGGGTCAGGGTCAGGGTCAGGGTCCTGGGTCAGGGTCAGGGTCCTGGGTCAGGGTCAGGGTCAGGGTCAGGGTCAGGGTCAGGGTCAGGGTCAGGGTTAATTGTATTTGTATTAAATTGTATTGTCGGGGGGTCAATTGTCGGGGGGTCAATTGGTATTCATAAAACTCCATTACGATTTACGAACCGTAAGAACTCATACTCCAACCAGACCCAACCTTGAGTACGACTTGAGTCTTAGTAATTACTCGCTGAAATGCACTGAACATGGCAATCTTTTAATAAGCCCTGTGAACTTCTGAGAGATTGAATTTTGTCCTATTAACATCTCACACTTATCAACTTGAGCTTGTGGGAGAGTAGAACTGTAATTGTATCATATTGTGATTAAGTGATGATGGAGTGAGGCTTATTAAATTAAGCTTACTTTTGTTCTTTTTCCTTTCTGTGGCTCTGTCAGCCTATCTGATTTCCCGACAAATTTTCACAAAAGTTGTTTAAAAAAATGTTAAAATCCGAAATATTCGGAGTTTATTTTCCAGCAAGACCACTTGTTTGTTTATTTGTGTGCCCTGTACATTAGTTTGTATGTGTGTGTGTGGTTGTTATGTGTAACTGATAACTTATAACAGGAGGAAGATAAGGAGGAGTACTATGAAGCTGATCACGTGCCAGGTGTTGTGATGTTTCACAGAGCTAGACAGATGCACGGTACACTCCCTCTCCTCTCAGGTGGGGGTCTAACAATCTCTATTAGTTGTGATGTTTCACAGAGCTAGACAGATGCACGGTACACTCTCCTCTCAGGTGGGTCTAACAATCTCTATTAGTCACATCACTCACACTAGTGACTAGGAGTGTGTGAGTCAGATCACTCACACTAGGAGTGTGTGAGTCAGATCACTCACACTAGGAGTGTGTGAGTGACTCACTCACACTTGTATCACGTCGCGACCCCGGCCCCATTGTCATTTCACTTAGTGGGGGTGAAAGTCACGATACAGCCGCGCACTCGTGCGCGGCGGGCCTACAACGTGAGGCAAAGTCACACTGAGTCTGCAATGAAGGGGCTGTGATTTATAATTTTAATATTCTTTTTCAATATTTAGAACCCAGTACATGTCCTACATTCTCTCTGCCAGGGTCCCGATACAACCTACTCACGTGGCTGAGGAGCTCTTCTGTCCGCAACAAGATGTGTCCAATGTGCAGATCAGTCCCTAAACTAGTTCCTTCCTCTCATATGGGAGATGGCTTTACCATTCCCACCCAGTGAGGTGACCTTTTGTAAAGCAAACACATTTCAATACGACCAGGTAGAAATGGTAGAAATGTAAGGACCAGTTCCGTCATTTGTCTTAAACGGAAATGACGTCCTACCTCAGATATTGGTCTGTTGAGAGCTCTGAACTGTTCAAGAATAATGAGATAAAACATCAGTATATACATTGCTTTACAAGATTACTTTGATTTTCATATCGTCATACCTTTTTTCTAGTTTTGGGAATTTTCGGAAATATCATGTTATGTGATTGTTTGTACATTATATTTCATGACGTATTGTAGATATTTAAATATATTATTTAAAAAGATTAAATTCGAATTCAATACCGTGGTTTCAGATTATTTCAGTTTAATAAACACTTGAACTTGGCTCCGGACATTTTCTCGATAGTAACAGCGAAGTCTAGTTGTTTGATTTTTTGATATCAACTTTCTGCAACCTTTCATAGCTGATTCATCTGTCTTTACCATTTTATCTAATTTCTCTCAAGGATTTTGGAGCGATGGCTGAGTTAGGTAGAACTTTGGAAAGGCTAGAATCTCGCACCTCAGCTATATCATGGGTAGGGAAGGATAGGCAGACCATGTTTAGTGACGCCGTGTTCAGCATTGTCGCTACTATTGTCGTGGTGACTTGTGAAATTGGGGAGTCTGAGATGAACGAAGTGAGTTGCATTGCTGATGGTTAAACTGAATGACTGCTTGTTCTGTCTGTTCTCTGATTGTTGTTAGTTTTCTTAATTACTGTTAACTGTATGTTTCAATCATAGCTGCATGTGATTATGCTGTTTAATGATGTTCTGAGCGACTTTGCCATGAGACCCCTCCCCCTCCCCCTCGGAACGAGTTAACGCCCCACTGTTAGCGTCCTCCTGGTTACCTGGTTACCTGGTTACCTGGTTACCTGGTTACCTGGTTACCTGGTTACCTGGTTACCTGCAGGTTACCTCAGTTAGCGTCCTGCTTTATGGGGGACTACTCTATCTCACATGGGTTCAGTGACCCTCTGCGATGGTGGCCGGTAGACCGCCAGAACATGTTTACTGATGCGGTGTTCAGCATCGCCGCCACCATTGCTGTTGCTAATCTGAACCTCAAGACAGAGGTACTTGACACGGTAATGATTATGTTTCTGATTTTTATTCTTGAATCTTGATTGAGTGTGCTTTGAATTCTGTTTAAAACTAAAATAAATAATGTACAACTTAACTTATCTTGTATCTGTAATCTGAACTCACTGTCCTAAAATTTGACTGCACAGTGAACTGGTCTTCCTCTCATTCGTCGATTTATCCACAGGAAGATTTTCTGCTAAAAGACGCGCTGCTTGATCACATTCCCAAGTTTGTAGCCTACTTTGCTTGCTTCTTCGTGATCAGTGCTTATTGGGGATGTCACGTGCGACTCTACAACCTTGTTGTCAATAGCAACGATGTTTTAACCTGGCTCAACCTGGTAAGTTGCGCCACTTTCGGTAATTTTGAGACTTTCAACATCGCAAAAATATCGAGAAATATGAGAAATATGTAAGACGATATTCAAGTTCTTAACCACTGGTAACTGCAGTACTAGACAGTAGACACGTTCTAGATCTCTAATAAAAACCCACTCCTGTCAGTTGTTACTGTGTGTCCTCTCCTTCCTCCCCCTGACCCTGTCTCTGTGGGCGGACTCTGCCTCCCTCGCAGACTACATGTCTCACTTCCCCTCTATAAACCTCGCACTAGCCTGCCTCATCTTCACTTTTACTATATTCTACGTATTCAGAGACAGAGCTGCTCATCATACCCACATTACCTCTTCTCAAAAAGTTTGTGGTCTATGTGTTTTTGAATCAAAGTGCAAAAACAGATTTGTTAACTCGTATGGATGTTTTTTATAGCATCATTAGTTTACCATAGCAACTCTATAGATAAGAAACATCATAATATATCTCATGAAAAATCTCTATCTAGAATGATTTGCCTCCTAATCCATGTTGTTAACTCGATGTTAACCTTGTTAACTCTCATGTTAACCTCCAGACACGGAGAAGGTTTATAATCCTACTGTACGCCTGGTTCCCTACCCTAATAGGACTGTTCTGTATCTACATATACAAACTAGCAGAGTTCGCGCTCTGTGTCGTGTTCGTCCTTGTCCTGCTCACTGCTGTCGTTATTACCCGCTTTGAGAGGTGGTATCTCGGTTATTTTCATTATGGTGGTTGTCTACATACAGCCGTGTGTGCGTAATAATTTGAAATACTAAGGGTTCAATGAGAGGGCGTATCTCGGTTAATTTTTATGTAAAGTTTCACATGCTACTTTCCTGCAGGCGTTATAATATAGCTTACCAGTGGTGGATCTCGTGGAGTTTATGTGGATTGCTCACTGACTGTCCGTTCCTCTCGCTTTGAGAGGTGGTTTAAATTCCCCGGTGAGTTTTTTGTTTTACGCACATTTCGATTATAAACCGCTTTAAAGAGTGGTATCTCGGAGCAGTTCAGTCTTTTGCTCAACGTGACGTCTTATTTGGGCTTTGAGGGGTTTGAATTTTCAGTGAGTTTTAAATGTAGTTTTCTCACTTGCTTTCAGATTATTTAATTTTCATATGGTATCTCGGTTTTTTATTGTGGTTTTCGTCATGCTATGTTATTACTGTTTGTACAGTTATATTCGATGAGTTTTAGTATTTAAACTAATTGTGTTAAAAGCTTAAGGTTGTTTTCATCCCGGTAAGTTTTATGGGTTACATAAACACTGCTTGGTCGGATTTTCTCGTTTGTAGGAGCGAGTCTAGGTGAGTTTTTTGTCGGTTTCTGCCCTTCATGCGTGTTATTATCTGTTTGACCATTTATCTAATTTTATAGTGATTGTCTGCAGCATGCTGATATTATTATCCTTTGAAGGTAGATCTCGAGTTTCATGTGGGAGGATAGCTACTCTGTGTTATACGCTGAGAGGTGGTATTCAGTTTTTGTTGCTGACTTTGTCGTTGTTACTTGTTGAAATGGTGGATCTCGGTAAAGGTTTATGTGAGGTTAATGATGCTGCTTTTCCCGCTTTTGAGGGGTTTGGTTATTTTCTAAGTTTTACTGTGTTTGCACATGCTGCGTGATTAGCTTTTAGAGGTGGTATCTGGTGATTTTGTGGGGCCTCTCCTCCGCGTGGGTAATTACCCCATTTGATGGTATCTGGTTACCTGGTTATGTGGTTCCTGGTACTGCTTCCTAGTTACCTGGTTTGAGAGTTATCTCGGTTAGTTTTATGTGGGTCCTGTCACTGCTGTGTTCAGTACCCTTGCGATGGTGGTAGCTCGGAACATTTTATGTGGTGTCCTCGCTCCACTTGCTGTGTTATTACTGCTTGAGAAGTGGTATCTCGGTTAATGTTATGTGGTTCTGTTTACTGTTTGAATCTTATTACCGGCTTTGAATTTGTGTTACTGAATTTTATGTCAACGTGTTTTTCCTTGTCTGTCAATCTGCTATGTTAATTTCGTTTGAGAGGTGGTTTTCTCTCGGTAAGTTTTCATGGGTTTTCCTGACGCGTCGTTATTCCCGTTTGAGAGGTTGTTCTCGTGAGTGCTTATGTGGGGTTTCGGGGCCTACACCTTGGCTGTACGTTATTACCTGGCTAATGAGAGTTGGCATTTCGGTAATTTTATGATTTCACTCTCAAAAATGTCGAAAAATTAGAATATGAGAGTGTATCTTCGGTAACTTTTGTTACTGCTGTACTGACAGTGCAGTTCAGACTCTAATTTACTCGCCTCTGTCAGTTGTTCTGTGTGTTTTTCTTGGTGCCGTCTCTGTGGTCGTATTACTCTTGAGAGGTGGTTTCTGGTTATAGTTTATTGGTGTAGGTCACTGCTTCTTAATACCCGCTGTGAGAGGTTGTTATCTGGTGGTTCTTCATTGCTCGCTGTACTGTCCTTGACCTGCTCACTGCAGTCGTATTTACCCCTATTTGAGTAGGCGGGCTCATTTTCAGTTAGTTTTATGTATTCAGGCAGACTGCTTCGTTTTTACCCGCCTTTTCAAAAAGGTGGTATCTGTGTTTTTGTCATGTTGCTCACTGCTGTTTTACTCGTTATGGATGTTTTTATACTCATTAGTTTATGGCCTGCTCATGATGTCGTTATTTTATCTATTGAAGATTTATCTAGGTTAGTTTGTCTATCATGTGGTGTTCTTGCTCATCATGTGTTATGTGGTTTTTAATCATCAGCCCGTGTGTTGACTGTAATGAATTTATGAAATATCTAAGGTGTTCAATATGTACTAAAACCCCAACTGCGGGCGATCCTCCGCGTCTAATCATCACAACTTTTATGTAAAGAAGATTCACACTCGCTTTTCCGCAGGACATAGGTTACTAGATATAGCAGTTCAACAAGTGAACAGTCCTCTGCCAATGGAACGAATAGAAGCGTTCAGTGATGGAGTGTATGCCATCTCCATGACACTCATGGCAGTTCAAATTGCGTGAGTTTTATTTGCAATTTGATTCGTTTTTTCACAATTGAGCTTAAATAAGACGACTGTCTAAGAGGCTATCCATTCTATTTCTAATCCCCAATCTTTTCCAGCTGAAAATTAGGTTTTCCTTATATTAGTATAAAACCCAACTCTAAAGATTTCACTTTTAAGGGAGAAGCTGTCATCGTCTGCAGCGAACGAAAAGTTCCTGGAAATATTCGCAAATTCCTCTGTTGCTTACCTCACCTGTTTCGGTTTGGTTTCCATCCTGTGGTTCGTTCATCACCAGCTCTGCCACAAGTAAGAAATTCAGATTTAAACGCTTTTAATATCGACATTTTGATACTTCCTCTCTCATTTACCGTAGACAGAAAATAAAAAAGTACACAAACTTAAAAGTGTACTGTTCAGCACGGATTTCTACATTCAACAAAACTCTGATCCACACTGACCTGAGTTAATGTGTGTAACAGAACTGCTGATGATACAAGCGGTAAACACATCAAGATTATTAATGCGCCAACAAGACCGAACCTCTCTATAACGCGGTTTATTTTGTCTAAATCCCCCCGGCCCCTGTTTCCGCGTTATAGCGAGGTACTGCTACTGGCTACCACTGTACTAGTTACCACTAGTTACCACTAGTTACCACTAGTTACCACTGTACTATCCCGTCAGTATCCAACAGAGTAACCCGCTGATTCAGACTCTCAACACACTGGCTATCTCCTTTGTGGGGGGTATACCTTTCTCATCAGGTCTCATCCAGCACTATGCTAACCCGCACAGCTTCGATTCAGCTAACTTCCGCATCAATGAGGAGGTTTGTTTTTTAACAGTTTTTGATTTAATTGTTCTACCATAATTATGATAATAAATTTGCATAGCGAAACTTAAAAATAGTATCGTATTACGAATGTCATGTTTTATATGGCAGTGGTTCTCAACATTCATCTGTTTTTTTCTTCGCTACTTCTGTGACTATTTGCACTTTAAATGTTAAAACGTTCTAGAAGACTCTCCAAAATATGTGAAATTTGCACTTCGGCAAGAAGAAAGTGGATGACTTCGTACTAATAACAATAGAAACCGTTTTTATCATCATCGAAATATAATATTAAATGTAAATTTTACGACAAATCAACTTTAACTTAGGTTGTGGTATTAAATTGTCAATCAGATAAATTATACCAATAATATAAGCTGAACATATTGAGTGCTTTAATTTCGATTAATTTCTGTCCAATTCGCGCATAACAAGTGAAAATTTGGAAAATAATTCACAGCGCCGTTTCCAATTGCCTCCCTCGAACGGAGATATGATCTACTGTGTCCATTACCAAGTGTGGGTGTGGCAGGCACCCTCAACTTCCTTACAATCCTGCACCTGAACACCCTATAGAAGACATGTTTCATCAGATCCCGGGTCCACCGTCGGAGTCCTGTAATCCTGTAGAAATACAGACACGTGTTACACACACAGTTCAACACAATGGTCTGTGAGTTCATGAAGGTTCTAAGATGGACATGGTACTGGAAATGGTAATGTCCGGGTGAGTCATGAGACTTGAGTTCAGATACCTGGGTAATGTAGTTGAGGATGAGGACGATACAGAGGGGCACGTTCCACACTAGGTAGGTCATGGTCAGGAGCACTATTGTTATTGTAGCTTCTCTTTTAACTGTGCTCCCCCGGGTTCTGCTCGCTGTGGAAGAGGAGGATGAGATTCTTTTAAAGCGCAGTTTTAGAATGATAAAGCAGCAGCAGCTGGTTACCGGGATGAGTGGGAACACAAACTCTACAATGTTTAACAGAAAGTACAGCACGTTGAACGGAGGAGAACCCTTTACGAACACCTTCCCCAGGTCCCAACTACAAACCTTGAAACGGGGAAAGTATTCATACTTGCTGCCTCTAACAAAGGGGGTAGCTGCCTGGAGTAACATCAGGAACACATACGTCACAATGGGAACAGCCACACTCCACAGCGATATTCTTTTGTGGGGGAGATATATGGAGATGAGTCTAGAAACACTGAGCACTGCAATGAGGTACACTGACACTCGGATAGTTACATTCCAGAGGATCCCCCACACGTTGCAGAGGAGCGGGTTAGTGTTGAAGAGGGTCTCTCCCAGGGAGGGGGAGAGGTTCGCCAGCCCGGTGAAAAGAGCTAGACTGCAGATCAGGATGTCAGTCAGGTTGATGCAGATGTGGAGGAGTGTGTTGGGGGATAAGATCGCTGGTCTGGTTAGGAAGTAGGATACGGCCAGGATGTTGCCCGTAGTACCGAGGAGGAAGCAGAGCAAGGAGGATACCCCGAATATGGTGTCCCAGTGACTTGGGAACATCGCGCTCTTTCTAGAGAATGTAATTTAGCTGTTGTACTTGCCAACTGTAAGGATATGAGAAAGTGACGGTGAAATAAATTGTTAGCAACAAAATATTCCAGAGTAAAATTTAGATAACAATAGATGAAACCACAATAGATGGTTAAATAATATGTTTCGTAAGTGCACTTATAGAAGCCTTAGTTCGTAACACACAATAGAGCAATATATGCCGTCCTATGCGGCGTTTGACGCTATTATATGTTGCATTACTGCCAAAAGTTATTCAAACAGCTGCATTCTATTTACAAGTTTTATCTTACGGGTAATTTTCACCGTAGTCTAAATAAGTTTAACTACTGGGGGTATTGAGGGTAAAATACTGTTCAAAATCGTGCGTGAAAAACATGTGAAAATTATTGGTAGGGTTACTGCGAATATTTGTGAGGGATAACAAACTGAACCCGAAAGTTTGAGGAATGGAGAAAACAAATTAGCAAATTGACGAAACAAACCATATGTGATAACAATTCATTAATTCGCTCCGTCCAGCTGGATAATAATAGTAATATTTTCCGGCAATTACTATGGAATATTTGATATTTAATATACCTAGCATATGCTGCAACTATTTATTAATTAACCAATAATACAACACTCTGTGCAGCGCACAGAGATTGGGAAACAATGGCATAGTCATTAGTCATTAGTCACAATGGATAAGTTTGGTATTTGTTTTTACTGTTACATTAAGTGTTTTAGAAACAGAAAAAATGTCCACCCTTATAATATTGCCACCTACTAATGTCACCAAACACAAATGGGCGAATGGAACATTCTGTGATTCATTGTCACAAACAGCAATGATTTAAATGAGAAGAAATAAGAAAGGTCATGCGGTACAATTACCAGATGTTTTGTTGCCAGTAACTGCCATAATGGAGCAGCAGCACTAACTTCCACACTAACTCCTTTATAATAATCCTAAGCAGGTGGTAGAGGTGGTAGAGGTGGTAGAGAGCTTCACCCATCTAAAACATAACATCTGCAAAATTGTACTGAGCTATAATAGTACAATTCCTTACAATTACCCGGAAAACGTGTGAAAAAACACACTGAAGCTTTTCAGCTTGGGAGATGTTTTTTTCACACGGCGAGAAAACATTTAAAGACAGAGGAGCCAGGTGATGAAAACGACACTGGAGTTGAAAGCGTAACGTGGTGATATTAATAAATATTTAAACTAGAACACCAGCCTTGTTGGTGATGAGACTAATTCGGAACTAATGTCAGACTCCCTACAGAAATGTCCCAATTTAAAAATACTTTTAAGAAATTCATACTTTCAAGATATTAGATAAATTCCCGCAAAGTTCTTTAGTACATATGATTTGCAAACATCTCATCGCATACGTAATATGAGAATATGTACGTCGGGAAGCGCAAGGTCTTAATAGTTAATTGTGCATGTAAAGTGTAAACAGTGTACGTATGCTCTGTGTAGTATGGTCTGTGATTTCTACAAACAAACCCCGCGAAATTACCATCAAAAATGGGAGGTCGGAATTTCTTAGTTTTTAACTCTCAATATTCAAGTTCATATGCAGTTACGAAAAAATATTAAAACATAATTAAGGGGGCCTTATTTCTCATGTTAAAAGGTTAAAAAATTGAACGGAAATGGATACGATAATCCAGTTTTAAAAAGTCGTTTATTCTTTTATTTCTGTCTTAAATCTACAGTGATTATATTGAATGTATTGCAAATCTTAGTTGCGAAGCATCGTTTGGAACTCCAAATACCCATATTAGTTCGAGTAAATAAGGTACTTTTAGTGATTTATGATATCTTACCAATTAATTGAAATAAGGCCGGTAAAAGAATTGTTTCAGTTTTTAAACTTTCTTCGAATTCCACAACTAGCAGACTAACTACTTAAGTGAGTCCAAGTTTTCATATATCTCATAGCTATCAACTGTGTCGTATTCCTCTGCACCAGGGAGCACTCCAGTTTCCTTCTTTACGCCTGGCTCTTGTCCTCGTACACTGGGAATTTCTCTGGCAAGTTCGCTCATGACAACGGGCTGGTTTCTTCTCTTTTTTGCCACAAGTTTGTAGAGAAGAATTGTCAGGAGAATCAGGAGAATAACTGAAAAAGCCCCGAAGACAGTTATCAGAGTTAGATACAGTTCTGAAAATAATGGCACGTTATTGTTAACTAATTTTTTATCAAGCAAGGCTATAACATTAGATTATAAAAGTATTATAGGAGTTACCGAGTTTGGAATTTGGATTATGATTTAGAAAGATTTGGGGCTTATCAACCGTAGAATAGGATAGAAAGTTGTAAAATAACTCACTCTTGGTTGCTGCTAGATCCTGCTTGGTAGCAGCCAACTCTTGCTTGTTGTTAATCACTATTTCAGCGAGAGTACATCCGGATGGGATCTCTGTAACTGATCCAGTTTTGTCACTTAGCACTATCTCCTCCCAACTTAGAATTTTAATAGAGGTGAGTACCTCCTCCTCAATAGAGCACATGTCAGATGACATTCTTTGTATTTCAGATGAACTGAGGACTCGACTATAAATGTTTAACTTGAATATATCACTTCCAAAGATGTTAGCTGGATGCTTTGTTTCATATGCACGGTTTCCCAAACTCATCTTTCCACCCGTATTTAGCTCCCTCCCATTGGTAGCTGCAGTTCCTATTACATCTCCATTAAGATAGACTTCAATGATGTAAGTAGAGGTCCAGCAGAGGTGGAACCACTCACCATCAGGGACAGTGTACTCATCCATCAGTCTGAGATTAGTACCTACCACCCAGTTGTAGTAGCCGTTAGAACCGAGAACTATCTCGTCATAGTCAGGATAGATATAGTAGTGCAGCACTATTGGATGTTTTGAATCAAATCTATTCTTGACCCAAGTGCACACAGAAAACTGTGATGTTGATGTATTCATTATACCATCTCCTAGCAGGATGTAGTCCCCGACTGTATGTCCGAATCGGAGAGCACTTTGCTTCCCCTCAGAATGGACATGGGAAATTATAGCAGAAAATAAAATCATAAACATGTTGTTGAGGGTTCGAGTTGTACTTGTAGGGAGAAAACGTAAGATTGATACGTGTCACATACAAAATAAAACGACTCAGGCGTAATTTGTAACAGTGCACCCCACACAGTCTTGATGAAGCTTATCAGTCATTGTTTTGTGAATACCTTTACATATAATGTTAAGGACCGAAGACCGCACTACGTTTTCGCACAGTCTTTAGTTTATAGACATAGTGGTTCATGAGTATTATATCATACTCATGAACGGAACGAGCGTGCTAAATCACTCTACACTCGATTTTCGAGATTTTTCTAAAAGCTGAAATCAACTTGGATCGATGTATTTTCGGACGCTGATTCCGAATCGCCCCCGATGACATAGACTTAAAATGCTTCTCTGGCAAGATATTGGCGAAAAACTATCTCGATCACGTGACATGACCGTATAAGGAAGTTTGTCTAATTTTTCGTTTGGGTCAGTTAGCAAGTCAGTTAGCCACTAATCTTAGCTTAGCCATATTTCTAATCATATTTTCAAACAATGTCAATAGGTTCCCAATTTAAGAACTGGTTAGGACCACAATTGATTAAATTTATTTACCGCGAAACTCGATTTACAGCGGCCATTTCCTTGGCCTTCCCCCCAATAGGGCTTAACATTCATAATGTAAAAATCTAAACCCCGATTTACCGCGGCTTTTTCCTTTCTCCCGAACCCCGCAGTAACACGTTAACAGGGTATTACTGTACAACACTACAAATTAATTACAATTATAAGGTGATACTTCCTTAATTTGGATAGTCGTAAAAAGTCGAGCCACAAGCAAGTCACCTTGGATACGTCGTGTGTCTACACGATCACCATTAATCAAAAGAGAATACCTCATCAGACTTTATTTCAACGGACATTAATTGGACGCTGGAGGCCCTAGCGTTGATCATTTTAATGTCTGTTCGAATACAGTCCGACAAGGTAGTTAAATCAAATTCATTAAATGGGTGCCTTCGAGCGTTCAAGATTATGTCCGTTCACGTACACACGTAATGTCCGGTGAAATAACGTCCGATAAGGTAGTCCGAAGGTATCGCTGATAGATTTACATATTATTGCAACAACTTTAGCTCTATACGAGCCAAGAAAAAGGCAATCATAGGACGCGAGGAGGATCAGAACTCCTCGGACTGCATTCAATTAATTCCTTTTATAACTTCCTCGATAAATATAATAGATTTTTAGAGTTATAATTAGTTTAATCTAACATCTGAAGAAATTAAAAGCTTTCTAATTCATTGTAACCTTTAAAAAGTTACGAATGAACAGAAGTGGACCACTTTGGTGCAATTTGTTCCAGACAAAATGTATCATGTTGTCGAGCAAGAAATCCTTAGCGTTTTAGACGAGAAATGAAAAATTCTGTGTCTTTTGCGACGGTTGCACGTAACAAACAGCAATAATCGAAAGCAGAAAATAACATTTATTCATTCAGTCGCATAATGATATTATTTCGAAATGATTACCAAAGAATTACAAATTACCAATTTTAATCAACAACAAAATAAAAGCGGGTTATATTGTCCGATGAAGTTATAAACTTTATGCCCTCCAGTAATTTCAGTGGCACATGTGCTCATGTCTGCACACTCCATCACTACATCTGGTAGTTCCTCCAGGACACTCCCCCTCCTCCCCCTCCCCCTCCTCTTTACCACACTTCTCTCTGCATTCCCTGTCTTCACACCTCATAGTGCCAGCTTCACACGAACCATTGCACGACACGACTTGGAAGACACTGTCAGTTGTCTTTGAGGGCTTTCTCTTGTTACCTGAGCACAGTAGGTAGACTTTCTTACCTTCTGTGGATTCCTTTGCATTGATTCCTTTGCAGCCTTTGGTATCCATGCACATGTTCTTAGCTTCATCAAGCTTTTTTGCTTTCAACTTTTGTCCATCAGCGTCCATCATCTTCTTCCCAAGTTTCTGGCCAGCAACTTCCTCCCAACACAGGGTTTTCTTCATCTGGAAAAGGTTGCGATCTTCTTCACACTCTGACTGGATCTCCACATTAGTTTCCTCAGCAGGGTTTGCTGATCCGCCCTGCGGATGCCAACAGGAACCTTCTGGAAGATCAATCTTAAACCCTTTCGCTGTTGTCTCCCATGTGTAAGCGTCCCTGCAAGATCCGAACGTGACGATATCACTGTCCGTGCTCGGGCTATCAGAGACTGAAAGACACTTGTCAGTAGCTTCATCCTTCAGGTATCCTTTAGATGTGTAGCAGAACTCTCGGCTGCACCCAGCACTGGTTAGAACCGTATTCATTTCTGCAGTGTCGTCCATATCGACACATAATCCTCCGAAGTGTTTGATCTCTCCACACATGACATCTCTCCCTACGTTGAACTCGTCTTCCTCTTCCTCCTCCTCTTCACCATCTTTTTCTTCTTCATCCCCGTTTTCCCAGCCATCACAAGTTTGACCTGGTTTGCATGTCAGTGCTGGCGCTTGTGCCATAGAGTTTATACCACAGATATTGTCTTGGCTCCTGCTCATGTGGATGTAGCCACCTGAACCCCAGTTAGTTCCCCACGAGTTCCTCACTGCCCAGTACCCTGAGGTGTAGCCAGTGAGAGCGACAGCGTGGTTAGGTGCACCAGAACAGTCACATTTGGAGGCCTCCGTACAGGAGTAAATACCCTGTCGATACAAACTGAAGCTGTCAACTACTTTGATAGCAACAGTGACAACACCATCAACTACTCCTTCAGCTAGTTTAGCATCGGATCCCTTGTACCACGTTATCCCCGTTACATCAGCTTTATCCATAGCGTTAGCAACTCCCTCCATATTACAAGTTCTGTCAGCTTTTTTGTAGGGAAACTCTGCCATACTTGCCATTCTCTTGGTATCTATACTGTAGTCGTATGCCCAGTGCATCCAGCCTCCACTGCATCCACTGTGATCTTTAGCCCAGCTGGCTCTGTGTTTCTTGTAGAAGTGTTCCATGGTACAGTCCAGGTACTCTTGCTCGCTCAGAGCCACCAGCTCCCCGGTCAGAGCGAAGTAACGACCCTCCAGAGAACTCACAGCACCAAACGCCCAGCAGCTCCCACAACTTCCCTGGTTCTTAACAGCAGGCTGGCCTTTACGGGCCACCCAGTCGATCTTACTTGGCAGTTGCCGTTTGACGCGACGTGTAAGGTTACTGGACCTCTTGGTAAGCATATTGGTTAGGTTCATTCGATCTAGATTCAGCATGTCTGCCTTTTCTTGGGTTGTCATGACTGAGATGAAGTTCAGTCCAGCGGTAAACTTTGTGTTTTTGTTGTCGTTGATGTCTTCTATCACACTGACGGTCTTTTCGAAGTTGGCGAGTCTCTCGTCCATTTCGTTTGTGTCGGACCGTTTTAACAGCATCTGAAATAATATGATTTAAATTTATTGATTATTTAGATGTAATTTTCTTGATTTGTTAAATTGAAAGTAAGGCAAGTGGTCAATACCAATTTGATTATTAAAATTACAACCAAATTCATACCTACTCATTTCAGTGCATAGCCTGTATAATACATTTGAAATAATTTAACCTAATTAGATATTTGATGCATGCTAACAATTACTGACATACCTGTAACTTATCATCCCCATGAAACTTCTTAAAAGTAGTCCTAAACATGACGGGGATATTATCAGCGTGGTTGTAACTGTGGGACCGGGCAGCAAGTAAAACTCCGAACAGAGTGATGAAAACAAACGCACTCTTCATGATCACTCAAATTGGAAATGTATCTCAGCAGTCAGTTAGGATTAGGATTTTAAGGGAATGTTAATGAGAGAGCAGTTAGTGAGTTTGATAATTTCTGCCTCGCTGTCTTTGTCTTGAGGACAATGCTTTGAGGTTGTCAAGGCGGAAACAATGAATTTATTCAGTTTTAACCAGACAGTTGTTTTGAGATGATTAAAAGATAAAGCTCACGAACAAACGACCCGTCCAAGGTCCTTAATCAACAATACCTACTATTCCTTAACTAACTAGCTTCTCTAGTTTCTTTTTTATAACTAGGACGCCAGGAGGCCAGGACGGGCCACGGGAGAATTGATAATTTTTTCTCGACGTACGTCTTTGCTCATGTGTAAAAACAATATAGCGTTACGATCAGGACTTTAAAACAACAGAGTTGCAAGTTAGTGGAAAAAAGAAGCCAACAGAAATGAATGGATCATTATACTTATAAGGGGTATAATAAGTAGTACAAACAGTCGTGACTGTTTTCATCAAAAGTTGGAGTTTCCATCAGAGGCAATTATAAGTGCGGCAGGTGCGGAATCGCACTATTTGCCGTTTCCCGCACACCTGCCGCACCTATTTTTGCGGAATCGCACTTTTCGCAAAATTTAGCCGCACTTTAATGTTGCCTCTAGTTTCCAGGTATTAAGAAGATGTCATAATTATATTAATTTCACAGGTTTGTGTGCAGTTTCACTGTATGGTGCTGTTTTTCTCTGGACTCTTCCAGGCACTTATGTGGGTAGCAGCGATACATATGAGGTAAATAAATACAAACAATCCGGTTATTATACGTTAAACTATAAAAAATAACTATAAAAAAATAACTTGATACTGGCTTTGAGGAAGAGAATAAAAGGACTTGTTGCTTGATATAGTATATGGGTGGTACTCAAGCGTTCTACATTTTGCCAAGTGAGACCAGAGGATTGGTTTCAGGAAGGTATGCGAACTAACGATCCGAGTAGATTATCTTAAACAATAATCTCAGAATGTGTGTGTGTGTGTGTGTGTGTATGTAATTTCCGGTCGGTTATATTAAAAAAACGGTATGAGTTACGGGAGTGGTTTTTTCGGTATAGTGCTGACAAAACTCTGACGAAGCCCATAAGCAAATTTTTTTTAAATCGGCCGGTGGTAAGTGGTTTAATTGATGGTTTTGTACCACAAATGTTACATAAAATGGCTTGAGCAGCTTAATCAAGAAAACGGTAAGAGTTACGGGGCTCGCTCTCTCTCCCATTACTGCATAATATGTAGCTACATAAGTAAACCATAATTGGGTTACCCGGGTAAGATTTGCTGTAATGTTATACTATAAGCTTATTAGGGGAGGGGGCACTGTTTGGGGTATGTTTGGACTGCAGAGAGTTCATACTATCATACGACAATGTTATGCTTGTTTTCAAATTTAATTTGCGGGTGTGGTGCGGAGTTAACAAGGGTTAATTTCTAAAACGATTTAAATAAAAATGGAAAGCGGTTCAAGACGGGAGTGCAAGTGATGAGGTGAAACATTTGTCATGGAGTTGTAGAGGGAGTTATGTGCCTCGCCGGGCTAAAGTAGTGGATGACCTTGCTGTACGGCAAGTTAAACAAGGATCTGAAACTACTAGGTTCCGTACAGACTCAACTCTGCACCCGTGTCAATATGTTCATTATATGCAAGCCTCTTGATTTATAAATGAAACATTTGTCATGGAGTTGTAGAGGGAGTTATGTGCCTCGCCGGGCTAAAGTAGTGGATGACCTTACTGTACGGCAAGTTAAACAAGGAAACTACTAGGTTCCGTACAGACTCAACTCTGCACCCGTGTCAATATGTTCATTATATGCAAGCCTCTTGATTTATAAATGAAACATTTGTCATGGAGTTGTAGAGGGAGTTATGTGCCTCGCCGGGCTAAAGTAGTGGATGACCTTGCTGTACGGCAAGTTAAACAAGGATCTGAAACTACTAGGTTCCGTACAGACTCAACTCTGCACCCGTGTCAATATGTTCATTATATGCAAGCCTCTTGATTTATAATCACCGAGTCTAGTAATTGTTTAAGAGAGTTCTCTGGCAGTTACGAAACTCGAGAGACTGTGGGATACTGAAGGGAAAGGAAGCAGTTCTAACGAGCTCTTCTCAAACACAAGGATATAACTTGTGAACTCGGCTAGTATATATGAAACATTTGTCATGGAGTTGTAGAGGGAGTTATGTGCCTCGCCGGGCTAAAGTAGTGGATGACCTTGCTGTACGGCAAGTTAAACAAGGATCTGAAACTACTAGGTTCCGTACAGACTCAACTCTGCACCCGTGTCAATATGTTCATTATATGCAAGCCTCTTGATTTATAATCACCGAGTCTAGTAATTGTTTAAGAGAGTTCTCTGGCAGTTACGAAACTCGAGAGACTGTGGGATACTGAAGGGAAAGGAAGCAGTTCTAACGAGCTCTTCTCAAACACAAGGATATAACTTGTGAACTCGGCTAGTATATATCTTAGTTGTAGTGAACGCTGAACTTAGTCGTACTGAACGTACGTTCCAATCATTTTGTAGTGAACGTTTGTGAACGTTAGTGAACGTTAGTCAATATTTTGATAATTTTTCCGATAGTTTTTAACTTCCAGACATCCTGATTCGTATGCTGATCATATCCCTGATAAACCGGGTGAACACAAAACCCTACTGAATGTAGGGGGAATGGAGCTTGAGCCACCTTTTGTTGGCAAGACTAACCATATCACTTTTATGGTTTCTATTGCGGAAAGCAAAATTTGCTAACTTTAAGGTGAACAGATAATATTTGTAATAAATTACACCGATGAAACCAACAGGAATCTTAAGACTCTTGTCTGAAAATCTAAGCAAGACTATTATCGGCTCGAGAATTGAGCATAAATAGTCGACTTCTATCCAGAAATGGGGGTCAAACACTAAATCTTTAGCGCACTCAAACAAATTCTTGTATGCATTACATTTATTGCTAACAGACTCAGTAAGGGTTGGATCAATATAAGTCTTAATCAAAGTATCCTTGGAACCCTTCAGTCTCTCTAACATAATAAACTGGGCGGCAAACCGAGTTTCCCTGGTTTTAGCAAATTGACATGAGAATGGGTTCTAAACGTTTCTTTACATTTGTAACTATTTTGTTACAATTCGACAATGTCTCCTTGGTCCAGCTCAACTTCCCGACATCCTCGGCAAGTAGATCGAACTGGTGGGTTACACAGCATGTTCCCATGATGAGTTCAAAATTAGCTTCGATTAAGCGTCGTAGAGATTTATTGACATTTGGATTGTCTGTTACAACGTGGAAAATCCTGTCGGCGCCAATTTCTTCAATTTTGGCTTTTACAATCTCATACTGATCATTTGCAGTTTTCTCAACCCCTGTAGCATTAACCGCGTCATGAAAAATAATGTCCTGCCTTTGCACGAGGATGAAGTTAACGAGAGGGTGAGAGGATAGATCCTTCCAACCATCAGTTGTTAGGGTACATGGGAATTGCTCAGTGATCAGCCGTTTCTGGAAAACGTCCACCTGCCGTCTTAGAGAATCTCGTTCATCTATCAGCATCTTTGCCGGATAATTGGGCTATGTCCGGCATTTTAATTTCATAATAGCAATTAACGTTCCTTATGTTCCGAACGTTAAAATCTTTTAGCGAACGCGTTCACAAACTATTTTTAGTGAACGTTCCGTACGTTCACTACAACTAAGGTATATATGAAACATTTGTCATGGAGTTGTAGAGGGAGTTATGTGCCTCGCCGGGCTAAAGTAGTGGATGACCTTGCTGTACGGCAAGTTAAACAAGGATCTGAAACTACTAGGTTCCGTACAGACTCAACTCTGCACCCGTGTCAATATGTTCATTATATGCAAGCCTCTTGATTTGTAATAGTCGGTGTTCGGACCTTATGATCATGGAATGTGGTGCCTAATAATGACTTAATTATCCACGAGAAAGAACTGTTTATGAGACTATTGTTTAAGATACTATTGGATACGTGAGGGCACTCCGAATAGAATTGCTCACCTAATGCGGGTTTTGACTCAGCGGGTAATTACTCCTACCCTTTTTAACTGCGGCAGTGAAATCCCGGCCGAAGGCCGGGTTACACTAGTAATATTATAATCTTACGGTATAGGTATATTTGTTGCCATTTTACTGACAATTAATTCTGTGTCTGCACTGACCATCAACTATCATATCAAGCAGTTACAAGGTACCCTTCATCAGTGTATTAACCCAATAATAATGTTCAGGGTTACAAGTGTAAACTACAGCAGCTACGCGGACGCACTACTATTCTTCAAAACAATGGTGGTGCCTTATGTCAGCTGTATATTATATCTCTACTCTGTATTCTACGAACATTCTAGTTCACTTTTCCTGGCACTCACTTGTGTCACTCCCTTCACCTTTGCTGTGAGTTATTTTATTTTAATAACTTATAATCCGAAAGTTTCACCCTACGTACACCAACCACCCACGTGAAGATTAGATAAGAAATTATAGTTAATATAAAATACGAAATAGAGGGAAGTCATTTATTCACTTCAAAATTTCAAAATCGGAGAATACCGGTCCCAAAGCGCAATAATCTTAATCTTTTATATCCTCATATTGGATGTTGATGTAAATATTGAAATTTCAGGCGGCGAATTACTGTCACAGGAAGCGACAGTCACTGACATCTTTTGCTTCAAGGTAAATCTGCCAAACGTAATTACATTGTAATTTGCTGTATCTAAGTTGTGTTAGGAGCAGATGAGGTACTTATTTAATAAACTGCGTTGTAACTAGGTGAATTAATATGGTATTACTAGGGGAACTATAGTAAAGAGATACTAATCTTTCCTCTTTCTACAATATAAATTTCATCTCTTGTTAAATTTGTTAACTTGTTTAAACTCATATTAAAGTCCCATAACCCCCTCAGACTATTCTCACGGTCAGACAGCACTAATAATCTCCAGCCCGGATTGTTAGAATCCTCCGCAAACTCTGAGATACACCGATCTGATCATCATCCTTACATCAGCTTCTCTCCGTCCAGTCCTTAGAATCTGATCATCATCCTTACATCAGCTTCTCTCCGTCCAGTCCTTAGAATCTGATCATCATCCTTACATCAGCTTCTCTCCGTCCAGTCCTTAGAATCTGATCATCATCCTTACATCAGCTTCTCTCCGTCCAGTCCTTAGAATCTGATCATCATCCTTACATCAGCTTCTCTCCGTCCAGTCCTTAGAATCTGATCATCATCCTTACATCAGCTTCTCTCCGTCCAGTCCTTAGAATCTGATCATCATCCTTACATCAGCTTCTCTCCGTCCAGTCCTTAGAATCTGATCATCATCCTTACATCAGCTTCTCTCCGTCCAGTCCTTAGAATCTGATCATCATCCTTACATCAGCTTCTCTCCGTCCAGTCCTTAGAATCTGATCATCATCCTTACATCAGCTTCTCTCCGTCCAGTCCTTAGAATCTGATCATCATCCTTACATCAGCTTCTCTCCGTCCAGTCCTTAGAATCTGATCATCATCCTTACATCAGCTTCTCTCCGTCCAGTCCTTAGAATCTGATCATCATCCTTACATCAGCTTCTCTCCGTCCAGTCCTTAGAATCTGATCATCATCCTTACATCAGCTTCTCTCCGTCCAGTCCTTAGAATCTGATCATCATCCTTACATCAGCTTCTCTCCGTCCAGTCCTTAGAATCTGATCATCATCCTTACATCAGCTTCTCTCCGTCCAGTCCTTAGAATCTGATCATCATCCTTACATCAGCTTCTCTCCGTCCAGTCCTTAGAATCTGATCATCATCCTTACATCAGCTTCTCTCCGTCCAGTCCTTAGAATCTGATCATCATCCTTACATCAGCTTCTCTCCGTCCAGTCCTTAGAATCTGATCATCATCCTTACATCAGCTTCTCTCCGTCCAGTCCTTAGAATCTGATCATCATCCTTACATCAGCTTCTCTCCGTCCAGTCCTTAGAATCTGATCATCATCCTTACATCAGCTTCTCTCCGTCCAGTCCTTAGAATCTGATCATCATCCTTACATCAGCTTCTCTCCGTCCAGTCCTTAGAATCTGATCATCATCCTTACATCAGCTTCTCTCCGTCCAGTCCTTAGAATCTGATCATCATCCTTACATCAGCTTCTCTCCGTCCAGTCCTTAGAATCTGATCATCATCCTTACATCAGCTTCTCTCCGTCCAGTCCTTAGAATCTGATCATCATCCTTACATCAGCTTCTCTCCGTCCAGTCCTTAGAATCTGATCATCATCCTTACATCAGCTTCTCTCCGTCCAGTCCTTAGAATCTGATCATCATCCTTACATCAGCTTCTCTCCGTCCAGTCCTTAGAATCTGATCATCATCCTTACATCAGCTTCTCTCCGTCCAGTCCTTAGAATCTGATCATCATCCTTACATCAGCTTCTCTCCGTCCAGTCCTTAGAATCTGATCATCATCCTTACATCAGCTTCTCTCCGTCCAGTCCTTAGAATCTGATCATCATCCTTACATCAGCTTCTCTCCGTCCAGTCCTTAGAATCTGATCATCATCCTTACATCAGCTTCTCTCCGTCCAGTCCTTAGAATCTGATCATCATCCTTACATCAGCTTCTCTCCGTCCAGTCCTTAGAATCTGATCATCATCCTTACATCAGCTTCTCTCCGTCCAGTCCTTAGAATCTGATCATCATCCTTACATCAGCTTCTCTCCGTCCAGTCCTTAGAATCTGATCATCATCCTTACATCAGCTTCTCTCCGTCCAGTCCTTAGAATCTGATCATCATCCTTACATCAGCTTCTCTCCGTCCAGTCCTTAGAATCTGATCATCATCCTTACATCAGCTTCTCTCCGTCCAGTCCTTAGAATCTGATCATCATCCTTACATCAGCTTCTCTCCGTCCAGTCCTTAGAATCTGATCATCATCCTTACATCAGCTTCTCTCCGTCCAGTCCTTAGAATCTGATCATCATCCTTACATCAGCTTCTCTCCGTCCAGTCCTTAGAATCTGATCATCATCCTTACATCAGCTTCTCTCCGTCCAGTCCTTAGAATCTGATCATCATCCTTACATCAGCTTCTCTCCGTCCAGTCCTTAGAATCTGATCATCATCCTTACATCAGCTTCTCTCCGTCCAGTCCTTAGAATCTGATCATCATCCTTACATCAGCTTCTCTCCGTCCAGTCCTTAGAATCTGATCATCATCCTTACATCAGCTTCTCTCCGTCCAGTCCTTAGAATCTGATCATCATCCTTACATCAGCTTCTCTCCGTCCAGTCCTTAGAATCTGATCATCATCCTTACATCAGCTTCTCTCCGTCCAGTCCTTAGAATCTGATCATCATCCTTACATCAGCTTCTCTCCGTCCAGTCCTTAGAATCTGATTATCATCCTTACATCAGCTTCTCTCCGTCCAGTCCTTAGAATCTGATCATCATCCTTACATCAGCTTCTCCCAAGACCATCATCCCAGCTTACTATTGAAAACATGGATATCGGACCACACGTCATCTTGCTACACTTAGCTATACTCGCAACAACTTTAAATTGGTTGAGCCATGAGAATAGTTTAAATATGGATTAGTGATGGAAATATTCATGGCAGATGAGGGTGAGATTGGAGCTCTTGGTTATAATTTGATTTTATACTGCTTATAATTGGTATAATTTGTTAGTATATCGTTTGTATTTTTGGAACAATTTTGCGCTTCCTCTTTTTTACTCCTTAACCCTCATAATTCTGATCAAATGACTTATGAGATCGAAATAATTTGATTTCCAACCAAATTCAAATTTTTAAGTTTTCGTTTAATTTTGATGTTTGTATGCGATAATTTATATTTGTTCGTATTTTATATCCTAAAGATATTATCATAAGTGCTATTATTGCTTTTCTGTTACATGGCTGTTTTATTTTCCTCAATCCAAACAATTTATGCTGTAAACAAGTAATAATATCAATTTTTAAATTATATGCAAAACTTCAAACTATATTTTTAAGATCGTTTAAAGAACAAAAATATTGTTTACGAGTTATGCGAAATGAAGTTAAACTCTCAATTTCAGGCCAGCATATATATATACATCTGGAATAGCACAACTGCTAGTTAAAAGTGTCAATTAAGATGGAAGACAAAAGCAAAATCACATCCAGATTCCAGACAACGAAAAATGTAAGTTTTATAAATAGTTAATTTTCAGTCATTTCATCAACAGTCTCAAAAACAATCATTAGAACCGTTACTCAGCAAACATTGTATTATCCCTATTAGGAATGTGGCCTATAGTGAGTTGCAAGGCTGCTGTATGACATTTAGTTGCAAAGATAACATCTGTTGATTTCTTGTTCCTCATTTGCTGTGTCTTTCTACCCTGAATACAGTTTCATTACTCAATAGTCATTACATTATTGTTATCGTATTGAAGGGCTTAAATCAATTAAGCAGTTAATGGTACAGTATGTAGTTATCACATTATCCATCATACCTGTTTACTGTTAATATGGTTCCTTGGATTATATCCCCGCTCTTTACCGCCACTCTCATTTCATCATTTCTTAGCTATTGCATCTCGCAGTAATTAGAGTTAGAAAATAAGCAGTTAATATTGATACGCTAACCACTTTAGTAGTTGTAAAGTGTGGTCCTTGGGGCTTGGCTGTCCGCAAGTATTCGATAGGACAGGTGATATTTGAAACAAACAGTAACATATTATTGTGATAGGTGAGATGAGTTTTAATGTGATCGTGACGTCATGAGAGGCTGTGACGTCATGAGAGGCTGTTACGTCATGAGAGGCTGTGACGTCATGATAAAGTAATACTATACCGGTTCATGAGACAAGTACACCATTCAGTGTTGTTGATTAGACCGTCGTTGTTGTCGTCACAGATACTAAGTACATCAAGAACACAGTCCCGTGAAATGTACTGAAAAAAGTCAAAACGTTCATTTCCTTCTGGACCAGACGTTAAACAAGCCGAAAATACTTTGTTTTTAAAATCTAAACACTGATAAGAATGATGTTATCTACAGCTGGTAAAGGTGAAGAAATATCTTGGTTTATAAACATACAATACGCTATAACACACATAATGCTCCTACAGTTTATTAAGAAGTTAAGACGACTAACCAGCCAGCGGGCTATAACACACATAATGCTCATACAGTTTATTAAGACGACTAACCAGCCAGCGGGCTATAACACACATAATGCTCCTACAGTTTATTAAGACGACTAACCAGCCAGCGGGCTATAACACACATAATGCTCCTACAGTTTATTAAGACGACTAACCAGCCAGCGGGCTATAACACACATAATGCTCCTACACTCTACAGTTTATTAAGACGACTAACTGTTTATTAAGACGACTAACCAGCCAGCGGGCTATAACACACATAATGCTCCTACAGTTTATTAAGACGACTAACCAGCCAGCGGGCTATAACACACATAATGCTCCTACAGTTTATTAAGACGACTAACCAGCCAGCGGGCTATAACACACATAATGCTCCTACAGTTTATTAAGACGACTAACCAGCCAGCGGGCTATAACACACATAATGCTCCTACAGTTTATTAAGACGACTAACCAGCCAGCGGGCTATAACACACATAATGCTCCTACAGTTTATTAAGACGACTAACTAAAGGTGAAGACGACTAACCAGCCAGCGGGCTATAACACACATAATGCTCCTACAGTTTATTAAGACGACTAACCAGCCAGCGGGCTATAACACACATAATGCTCCTACAGTTTATTAAGACGACTAACTAAAGGTGAAGACGACTAACCAGCCAGCGGGCTATAACACACATAATGCTCCTACAGTTTATTAAGACGACTAACCAGCCAGCGGGCTATAACACACATAATGCTCCTACTGTTTATTAAGACGACTAACTAAAGGTGAAGACGACTAACCAGCCAGCGGGCTATAACACACATAATGCTCCTACAGTTTATTAAGACGACTAACCAGCCAGCGGGCTATAACACACATAATGCTCCTACAGTTTATTAAGACGACTAACTAAAGGTGAAGACGACTAACCAGCCAGCGGGCTATAACACACATAATGCTCCTACAGTTTATTAAGACGACTAACCAGCCAGCGGGCTATGATATCTAGCTCCCCAGAGGACAGGAAGTTGTCTCTAGAGTAGTCGAAACTCTTAAACAACTTTCTCGCAATACCAACGTCACTGAGGGTATACAAGTGTTTTTATATAAGGTTTTAAGATATGAACAGAATGTTGCACATTGGATTGTTGAAGGTGAGCACCACGTGATTTCTCGAAAATAGACGATTTCATGATCGACCGAAAGTTTAAAATATTTAATAACCTCCTGGGTTCGTGTGTTCTGGTGATTCTCCGAGTGTTCTCTATTTTCTTAGCCACGTAGATGTCGTAGTTGTTGGCTCCAGGGAACGCTTTGAACACCTCCTTCACTATCTTGCAGGGGTCACAACTCAACATGGCTATCTTCATCTCCTGTTCTGTTGTTAGGAGCCGGTTATTGTTTCTAAGCTTACAGTTTCCCAGATAAACTTTAGTTAACAGTTAACAGTGTTTTGATAGCCTTACAAAACCAGGGGAGATATTGGTGAACTTTGTGAAATTTCTCAAATTGTCAAAATAAGCCTCTTAATATTCTTAGAATAAGGTAATTGATGGTTCAGACTTGTTCAGACCAAGCAGATGAGGTCTTAATCTGGTTTCATCCAATAGATGTAGTAAAAGTGTGACAAAGGTCAAGAATATCCAGAAGTCTTTTCTCCCGGAGCGAGTTATTCCATATTGGAACAAACTCCCTCCGGACGTCAAGAACTCTGACAGTTTTAGGTTTTAAAGTTAAATTAGAAGTATTTAAGAAAGATATGATTTCTAAAAGTATTACAAATGGTTGCTTTTTTTGGAATGTTTCTAATGAAGTTTTAGTAAGAATTGAAGGAGCCAGTTATGTCAGTAATAAAGAGAAACATAACAATTATCTTTGGTTCCATCCTTATGTGGCAAAGAAGCGTTTTATAAATCTTTATTCCACTGGGAAGTTTTTAAAATAGGATAATGTTTTTGATAATATTGTTTTAAAATATTGTATTTGATAATTAATTAATGTTGGTGGAGAAATATTTATTATATATTTTTTCACACAGTGCGATGATATTTTGTAGACATGTGTGATGATGTGATGCCATAAATTTTACTTTACTTTACTTTACTTTAGAGTCACGAAAAAGAATGTCCTGTTTTAAATAACCTACCACAATTGAGGTCCTCCTCCTGGCTGACAGGCCTGGGCTGAGTTATATTGTTGTTGGTGTCAGGCATGACACACCAACACTGCAAACCATCCGTCATGTTGCACTGGGTCAGCGCGTACAGGTTCATGTTGCTTTCCAGGCACTGGGATCAGAGCTTACTTCAAACCAGTGGCGTAACGAAAGGCCCTGCTGACCCCACTGTGCAGGGGGGCGCCGTCTTAGGGGGGCGCCAAATCGTCGTTTGAATGTGGGACAATTTCGAAAACTTAACTAAAGTACAAGCAAAACTGCGCGTTTTGCTTTAGATACACACTTTTTTAGAGATTTTACCGGCGTATTCTCTAAAATCACCTAATTTGTTCAATTTTAGGGAGGGGCACCAAAAGGGGAGGGGGCGCCAACAGGGGGGCGCTTTTTTCGGCAGGGGGGCGCCAACAGGCAACGTTACACCACTGCTTCAAACACAAGGGCATTTCTTTTATGTATGATTAAAATTAAACAGCTTGAAATTTGTTTAATATTTCTGGGATATTGATGTGCACCATTGTGTCAGAACAAGCAAAATGTTGTATTTAACGAGTTTACATGTAAATACCTTGGGAACATAACCATCTGACATCATTCCAGTAGCTTGTCTGAGTAGGGTCTCGTATCTTCTTTTAGCGCAGGTCTCATCTGGGGCAACTAACATTCTATCATTTAATTCTTCACTGCCAATCTACTTTATTTATATGCCCAATCTATTTCATCAACAACGAGGGTCTGTATATAATATGCATACATAACATGAGGTCGGGTCGCTGGGATGGAGAGCAAAAGTGAACTACTACTTTAAACTAAATTGTGTTAAGGGGTCGTTCACATATTATGTAATCACTTTTTGAACAATTTCTACCCCCCCCCCCCCTCGGTAATTGGTAATTAGTTTAATACACAGCTATTGTGTCAAAATTACAGCGTAATCATTTGAACCCCCCCCCCCCCCCCCCTCGGCTGATTACGTAATATTGAACGACCCCTAAGTGAAGTTTGTAAACTAAATAGTGAAGTACTACTCACTAAATTGTGTGAATTAAGGAGTGAAGTAAAAAGTGAAGTACTACTCACTAAATTGTGTGAATTGAGGAGTGAAGTAAAAGGTGAACTACTACTGACTAAATTGTGTAAATTAAGGAGTGAAGTAAAAAGTGAACTACTACTCACTAAATTGTGTGAATTAAAGAGTGAAGTAAAAAGTGAAGTACTACTCACTAAATTGTGTGAATTAAGAAGTGGAGTAATAAGTGAAGTACTACTCACTAAATTGTGTGAATTAAGAAGTGAAGTAAAAAGTGAACTACTACTCACTAAATTGTGTGAATTAAGGAGTGGAGCAAAAGTGAAGTACTACTCACTAAATTGTGTGAATTAAGGGGTGGAGTAAAAAGTGAAGTACTACTCACTAAATTGTGTGAATTAAGGAGTAGAGTAAAAAGTGAAGTACTACTCACTACATTGTGTGAATTAAGGAGTGAAGTAAAAAGTGAAGTACTACTCACTAAATTGTGTGAATTAAAGAGTGGAGTAAAAAGTGAACTACTACTCACTAAATTGTGTGAATTAAGGAGTGAAGTAAAAAGTGAACTACTACTCACTAAATTGTGTGAATTAAGGGGTGAAGTAAAAAGTGAAGTACTACTCACTAAATTGTGTGAATTAAGGAGTGGAGTAAAAAGTGAACTACTACTCACTAAATTGTGTGAATTAAGGAGTGGAGTAAAAAGTGAACTACTACTCACTAAATTGTGTGAATTAAGGAGTGGAGTAAAAAGTGAACTACTCAGAGTTGAAAAATACGTATTTTACGAATTTTATAAAATATCAAAAATACGTTAAATACGGCGTATTTTATTTTCGTTGAATAAAATACGTAATAAGTGTTATTGTACCATTGATAGCTCCAATAAAATAATTAGTACTATTGCTTTATATAAATTTACGATTTTATCAAAACTCGCATAGCTCTGTCGTTTTTCACCTCGCATATGACTTCAGAGTACTGGGCACGTGCTATACCAAAGCATTAAAGCGTTGAAGTTAAATAGAAATGTGTCTGAAAAAAATGCAAACGAATGACATAACTTTAGTCTTTGAATGAAATTTCAAGAAAAACGTATTTTAGCGTATTTTTGACGTATTTTATTTCTAAGCAAAAATACGCAAAATACGGCGTATTTAAAAAATTATCTCACGTATTTTTCAACTCTGGAACTACTACTCACTAAATTGTGTGAATTAAGGAGTGAAGTAAAAAGTGAAGTACTACTCACTAAATTGTGTGAATTAAGGAGTAGAGTAAAAAGTGAACTACTACTCACTACATTGTGTGAATTAAGGAGTGGAGTAAAAAGTGAAGTACTACTCACTAAATTGTGTGAATTAAGGGGTGAAGTAAAAAGTGAACTACTACTCACTAAATTGTGTGAATTAAGGGGTGAAGTAAAAAGTGAAGTACTACTCACTAAATTGTGTGAATTAAGGGGTGAAGTAAAAAGTGAACTACTACTCACTACATTGTGTGAATTAAGGAGTGGAGTAAAAAGTGAAGTACTACTCACTAAATTGTGTGAATTAAGGAGTGGAGTAAAAAAGAACTACTACTCACTAAATTGTGTGAATTAAGGAGTGGAGTAAAAAGTGAAGTACTACTCACTAAATTGTGTGAATTAAGGAGTGAAGTAAAAAGTGAAGTACTACTCACTAAATTGTGTGAATTAAGGAGTGAAGTAAAAAGTGAAGTACTACTCACTAAATTGTGTGAATTAAAGAGTGGAGTAAAAAGTGAAGTACTACTCACTAAATTGTGTGAATTAAGGAGTGAAGTAAAAAGTGAAGTACTACTCACTAAATTGTGTGAATTAAGGAGTGAAGTAAAAAGTGAAGTACTACTCACTAAATTGTGTGAATTAAGGGGTGAAGTAAAAAGTGAACTACTACTCACTAAATTGTGTGAATTAAGGAGTGTAGTAAAAAGTGAACTTCTACTCACTACATTGCCCCTTGTAGAGTATCTTGATAGATGTGTTTGTCTCACACTGTTCCCGTCGGTATTCACATAGCGTGGTGTACGTTACGCCGTTATCTCCACAGAAGTTAGTCGACTAGAGGGAGAATGGAAAATCAATGCACTATCACAAATATTCAGCAGTTGATATGCAATAATGAATAACTGAGTGTTGAGTAACCACTGAAGGAAGCTGGTGAAGTGTTACTAATTATTATTAATTTTTACTAATTATTACTGATTATTTTTACTAATTATTATTACTAATCATTATTAATTTGTATTAAGTGTATTATTAGAGTATGCTATTGGGGTCTTGTGGGTAAGGGGGGGTCTTTTACATTTGGATTTTGGAGGGATCTTATTACCTTATTTAGGGATCTCCGGGAACAGAAGTCACAGCAGCAGACGTAACCAGCGTTGTCAAGACGACACTTGCCCGTCTTTCTACAATTATCACCTTCAACGTTACACTCTGCAAAGTTATTTGTTGACTCCTACTGCTCTACAAGATTTATAGCGCTTTCAATTTCAAAATAAGTCTGTAGCATGTCTTTGTTAAGTGTTCTCTAAATTCACTAAGATAAAGGCAATTACAAGTAAAGTTTTTCGACGATTATTTGCCCTGAAGGTAACAAATCAAATAAAAATCCGCGACTACTATACAAACAAGTGCATGGTATGTTAAAGTTTACATGTAATATGTATTGTAACATGTATGGTTTGTGGCAGAAGTTCATTAAATCTGGTTTCTTACCTTTCGTTGCGTAAACATCTGAAATAGAAATAGTATTATGATAAGATTTATCTCAAATTTGTGTTTCTAAAACGAGTTATCACTAAAATTAAAATAATCAAATGTGTCACTCGAACCAACCTTCAAAAGACTCTTCAATCATTCAAATAAATCATTCACCTGCATTTCGAAAACACAATACAGTGCAGAGAATAAACAATGTTTTAGGGCGAAACTGCGATAACCTACATTTAGACATGTTAAAATGGGAGAAGTTGTCAAGCGTGGCTTTTAGCGCCATCAAAATACGATAACAGCAAACGTAGTGAATGTAATTTGAGAATTCTTGAACTTCTGGGTATTACTAGACTACTGTACGTGCTATACTCGAAAGAAGGACTCCGACTTCCGATAGTTTGAGACCTGTTTCTAATTAAGATAACAATTATACATGCCTATTGCCTACTAGTACTTAAATCTAGTCAATTCTGCCAATTCCACTGAGTTTTGTCACAACGGCTCGTCAGTCGTTTTGTTTTTTTCTTCATGAAATAAAGAGAATAAATAATAAATGTTGACTTACCGAGTGCATTGTGGCACAGACCCCCATTACCTGCGAGAGAGCGTCTCTCCTCTTCAACCCCTCTAACGAATGCTGACCAAATAATTGCAGTTTAAAATATTTATTCCTCGTAATACTTCCTATTTAGTTTAACAACAGCTATCTGCTAAAAATTGCCTTAATTATGGATCATCTTCCAGTAGCGATTACTCATATTCATTTTATCGATATCAATAATTTTGTTCACTTAAATTGTAAATCATCTGAATCCTACCATCTGAATCCTACCTTTGGGCTTGGCCATGGCAGTCCATGCCGTTAGTGTGCATAGGAGCAAGAGTGGGGGCGTGCGTGGCATTTTATACTGCCATGGCTGAAATACGGGTCCGGTCACGGGTTACTAGACAACCACCGGTTACAACCACCGGTTACTACGGGTTACCACCGGTTACTAGACAACCATCGGTTACTACGGGTTACTAGACAATAGACCTTGTCTGGCGACTGACCGCAGCAAGTGACTGGTTATAGCACAATAAGATAATGAAACGATACTAGGCTGTGTTCAGACTGACAGTGCCGGGGAAAAGTGTTGACCATTAGAAGGAGATGCATAACTTTTTGTAGTAATCAAATCAGATTAAGTTGTTTGTTAAACAGCAGCTAAATATAACTACATAGTGTGTCGAACTTTATTAGAGGGAACTGCCTGCTACATCTCTCTCCCATTTTCAGGATGTTTCATTAATTTAGAAGGGATAAGTGGTCGGTTTAGTTTCGGGAAGTAAGCTATATCATTATCACTTATAGGGCGGGACCCGTACACTGTCCAAACTACCCGCACTAGCCGTACACTGCACCTTTTATTTACATTTACAACAAATTTCAGGGGATTTAGTAAACTTCTGTGACCTGCTCATTCATTGCTTCTATTAGATTCAGAGTGAAAGCGAGAGTTTACACTTTACACCATAGAGCTGGTCGACTAAAGAGCTATAAAATTGTGGGATACTGGGATATTCCGACCGATAAAGATAACCAAATAACCTAAGGAAAATTGATAACCCACAAGACTGATAGCTACCAGCCTCTTCAATACCAATTAATTTTCATAAATCGCATCGAAGGTAAGGTATATTGAATCCTAAAGTTAGACAACGTAATGCATTTTCAATAAAACGGAAAAGCTCTAAACTCATAGGCATGGCGTTTCAACGCAGCATAGTATGCGTTTTTCGCATTATATGCTGCTGCATATAATAATGCAGTTCAGCACGTCAAGTGGAAGCCTTAGTTACAAACTTTTGGTGAAGTGTGTGATGTCTTTAATTTTATTACTTCTAAGGAGGCCGCGCCTGCTTTTTCAGGATAAAGTCACGTTTTCTCAACTCGACTTTCTGAGCTGACTGTGTGACTGTATGTGACGGGCCATTATGGTGTGTAACCATGGTGTGTATTGTGTAACCATGGTGTGTAACCATGGTGTGTACACCGTGTAGTCTGTCATAATTGGCAACAAAAAACAGTTTCCTTCTACTTCTTAGAGATTGTCTGCTAGCCCAGGGACATGCCTCTTGTGGGAGGCGGGGCCTAGCCCTGCATGCCTTGTTAGATACCTTTTCAACACGTTTTCTCTTTTAACAAGCACTTTAGAAACCCGTGTACCCCATTGGGTGGTTAATATCTATCAATATTTCCTTGATGATTTAGAAAAATTTGGTTAAATCATAATTCGTGTTAAAGTTTAACGACAACTTTAATAGATAATTTACAGAATTAAGCCTGTTAAATTGCCTGTTTAACATTTACCGCCTGGCGGTACGGCCACAACAAATGGTAAAACATATAAGTGATTTCCTAACCCTAATTCTAGTTTCTTTATCGAAAAATTGATAAAACAAGGTAATTCTAGAAAAACCTGATCGGCTTTCGCCAAGCTTTTTGTCCATTGTAATAACATATATCAAAAGGAATTAAACATTTGAATAAATCGCATGCACCGTGTTATACCGCCACGATAAAGTAATAAATCTAAATCTAATTGTAAAACACGTTATTGTCTATTATACGATAAACGTGAAAACAAACTAACAAAGGGTTTATAGTCTCATCAATAAATTTCTCTACTGGTCGATTGATGTATAGGTTTTCCGGTTGGAACGTTAACAGTATTTGTTAATAGCCCGGCTAGTTTGATTGAAGTTTAAGTTGTCCGGTAGGGAAGGTGGAAGCCCTGACCCACTCCTCCTCCTCATCCTCCTCTTCATAGACTGGGTTTTGAACTGTGAACTGAGGTCCTAAACCACAAAACATACTACTCGACCTCTTCACTTCCAACTTCTTCCCATCTATCAGGCGTATCCTCTCTTTAGTCATGACCAGTATCTTGTGACGCCTCTGGAGAGTCTTGTGCTGTCTGATGATTACAGCTCCGACCACTCCCCCTGTGGTGAGGAGTGCTGTGGCTACTGACAACAGAGTGATGAACACTCTTCTCTCCGTTCTGTCGTCTGATAAATGCTCCTGGTCCGGGTCTTCTGCAGTCGAACCGCCGTCTTTTCCTGTACGTGGTTTATTCTCATCCCCTCCGTCTTCAGTACGTGGTTTATTCTCATCCCCTCCGTCTTCAGTACGTGGTTTATTCTCATCCCCTCCGTCTTCAGTACGTGGTTTCTTCTCATCCCCTCCGTCTTCAGTACGTGGTTTATTCTCATCCCCTCCGTCTTCAGTACGTGGTTTCTTCTCATCCCCTCCGTCTTCAGTACGTGGTTTATTCTCCTCCCCTCCGTCTTCAGTACGTGGTTTATTCTCATCCCCTCCGTCTTCAGTACGTGGTTTCTTCTCATCCCCTCCGTCTTCAGTACGTGGTTTCTTCTCATCCCCTCCGTCTTCAGTACGTGGTTTTTTCTCATCCCCTCCGTCTTCAGTACGTGGTTTTTTCTCATCCCCTCCGTCTTCAGTACGTGGTTTCTTCTCATCCCCTCCGTCTTCAGTACGTGGTTTCTTCTCATCCCCTCCGTCTTCAGTACGTGGTTTCTTCTCATCCCCTCCGTCTTCAGTACGTGGTTTCTTCTCATCCCCTCCGTCTTCAGTACGTGGTTTCTTCTCATCCCCTCCGTCTTCAGTACGTGGTTTCTTCTCATCCCCTCCGTCTTCAGTACGTGGTTTCTTCTCATCCCCTCCGTCTTCAGTACGTGGTTTCTTCTCATCCCCTCCGTCTTCAGTACGTGGTTTCTTCTCATCCCCTCCGTCTTCAGTACGTGGTTTCTTCTCATCCCCTCCGTCTTCAGTACGTGGTTTCTTCTCATCCCCTCCGTCTTCAGTACGTGGTTTCTTCTCATCCCCTCCGTCTTCAGTACGTGGTTTCTTCTCATCCCCTCCGTCTTCAGTACGTGGTTTTTTCTCATCCCCTCCGTCTTCAGTACGTGGTTTTTTCTCATCCCCTCCGTCTTCAGTACGTGGTTTCTTCTCATCCCCTCCGTCTTCAGTACGTGGTTTTTTCTCATCCCCTCCGTCTTCAGTACGTGGTTTCTTCTCATCCCCTCCGTCTTCAGTACGTGGTTTATTCTCATCCCCTCCGTCTTCAGTACGTGGTTTATTCTCATCCCCTCCGTCTTCAGTACGTGGTTTATTCTCATCCCCTCCGTCTTCAGTACGTGGTTTCTTCTCACCCGCTCCGTCTACTTGCTCACCACTTTCATCCGGCTCAGTATTGTCGTCAGAGCTGTCATTAAAAACACACAGTTTTGTCTCGGTCAGATCCTGTCTGAGGCAGTGTTTACCGCCTAACCTGCTCCTATTTCTAGATAACTTGCCCACACCTTGTGTGTGCAGGAAGTCAATACCAGTCTCCACACATGATGTCCACCCCTCCCACTCTGCTGTCAGACAATCCTGCTCTGCCCTGATTGAACTTACGAGCACGACCAGGACGAGCAGACAAATGTTACAAGTTATCTTCATTATCGCTGTAAAGGCACACAACAATGATATCTGTACTGTTAAAATCAAAGGTCTGTACAAATGACAGTGGTTTATAATCTAACACGGAAAATGTTCACAGGGTCAAATGTGAAACCATTTGCTGGTGACATAATTACTCAGGAGGTTTAGTCACGTTTGTAATTTGAATCTGGTGCACTGCTGCATACCCGAACATCCGGCCATTATCATCATGTAGGTTTCTAGTGCAATACAACTCCTGATTTCAGTTGGTTGTCGGTCAACGCCCGATACCCAGTTTCTAAATATATATTCAGGGTGTATCGAGGCCCCCGAAGTGACTTATGTTTTGGAATTACTCTTGTTATGGACGTATATTATCGTCTACAATCAACAATGCAATGCAAATGTGCAATTCATTATAAAATCCCTCATCAATACTCTGTATTTTATAACAAGACTAACCGCTATTATTGTGGTAATCTCGTTTTCAGTACATTTTGATTTAACCAATCAGTCGATGTATTTATCAATCTACCGATTTAGCACCTTGTAAAATTCTTACATCTTCGTACTGCGTACGCTGCATGCAATTGTATGGTTTCAATAAGGTTTTCCTTGTAGCGCGATGCAACCACACGTATGCAGATCGGCGAAGGATTGACATCGTGAATCAAGGTTTTCCATACGCTGACAGGATATTTTGAATAATTTTTCTTGAAAATATGGCGAAGAGACATAGACTTAGAAAAAGTAACTAAAGCCAAATAAACTGTCCAGGAAACAAGTAAAGCTAACGTGATATTTTGACGATCGTACTTATAGTTATAATTATGTATGTACTTGGGCGAAACGAACTTGTAATTTGACTTTTTGACTGAAGTTAAACTTAAACAGTCAATGATATTTGGATTACTTTTGAAATTTTCATAATCACGATTTGAAGGACTTTTTGTGATATTGATAAGAAATGATGTAAATAATGAAGCAAAATATTCTGAAATATTACGGCTACTCTTACATAACTGAATTTGAATAATATTGACTTATGGACTATAAAAAGTCAATCATTGTGGACTCTACCTCGATTAAATGTATCTCGTGCTATCCACATTAGATTACTTTACCTGGCCTGGGGACCTCAGGCTATCATGTTCATAAACATGTTCATAAACATGTTGTTCCGCCGAATATAGTTGATACATGTTACGTATCCCAAATATCAGAGATATTTGGCATGCAACGTATGTCAATTTTCATAATCACGATTTGAAGGACTTTTTGTGATATTGATAAGAAATGATGTAAATAATGAAGCAAAATATTCTGAAATATTACGGCTACTCTTACATAACTGAATTTGAATAATATTGACTTATGGACTATAAAAAGTCAATCATTGTGGACTCTACCTCGATTAAATGTATCTCGTGCTATCCACATTAGATTACTTTACCTGGCCTGGGGACCTCAGGCTATCATGTTCATAAACATGTTCATAAACATGTTGTTCCGCCGAATATAGAGATTAGGCGAAATGACAGGCTGCACTGAGCGCGGCCCAGTAATGTTCACATAGCCAGGTGTCTACGCTACTGCAAGCGAGAGGGCTCTGGTTAGAGCAAACAGTAATGGACTAATCAGCTTGCTGGTCT